AGGAGAGCCCTTACCTGGATCAGGAGAGTGGTTTTGCTGCCCAGAGCCTGGCAGGGAGGTTCTAGAGGGACTAATGCCTCTACTGGAGTTTGTGGCACCTTGGGACACATCCTGCTGACTCTCCCATCGACCCTAGAGGGGGGAAAAAAAAAAGGATTTTTTCCAAGTTAGCACAACAGCGGGAGCACAACAAACCTCACACACCCTGCACAGCCCCTGTGCCAAGCTCAGAGTGCCAGAGCTGAGCAAAGACCCTTCCCCAGAGGTGCTTTTAGTTGGCAGACCCAGCCCTGCAAAGATGAGCACCCTCAGCCTGAAGGCACAGAAAAAGTTAATTTCTAGACCTCATAGCTTTAATATTTCACTCACTTGTGCTGCTGTGTTTTGGAAGCTGAGTATGTTACAACCAGGTGAAATTAATATGGTGCTGTCTGCCCAAAATTCCTGAATATTTCGTGTATCTGCTCAGGAGTAGTGGAAGCAGCACCAGGACAAAGGGTGAGGACAGAGCTTTAAACAAGACAAGAAATACAAAACCTAAAGGCTGGATCTTTGTGCCTGGAGTCAGAGAAAGGAGCTGATCACATCAAGAGGAAGCAACTGAGACACAGCAAAGTTTTCTGGGAAAGAGAAAGTTGGAATATCCAAGCTGTGGACAGCAGCAGCCACAAAAAAAATTAGGACAGGTTAGGGTTCTGAAGATGAAAGCAGATTATTTTCAGCCCTACAAAAGCCTGATGCAGATGAGGAAAAAACAGTGACAGAGGAAAGAGCAGCTCCTTTGCCTTCCCAAGATCCCAGGGTTCCCTGGTTGGGTTTTCTCATGGATCTCACACACCACCCTGCACACGAGGGGTGATTTCTCTTGCTTTCACCAAGGTCCACTGTGCTTTTGGAACTTTCCTCTCAAACTCACAGCCAAAAACTGGCTCAGTGACAAAACTTCTTGACTAACAGACAAACCCCAGGCCACTGTTTCACATCAGTGCGTGAGCATCAAGAATCTACTTGTCAAAAAATATTTTTTATGAATTCTCTCATCTTGCTAGGTAAAGTCATTTATAAATTCATCTGCAATGATTACTCCAAGTGACTGGCCAGGGTGTGTGCTGGAAGTTTCATGTGGATGTGCAGGACAAGGCTTGGTTTTGCTTCACCAAACTGAGTGTGCAGAGCTGGAAGGAAAACCAAAATTCCACGGGGGTGTCCTGAAAATGTTTTGACATGCAAAAGCACGCTGCCAAAGCAGCTCCTTCTCATTTACCTAATTTATAGGAGACTCATTTATGAGTCTATGGGTTAAAAAAGTCCAGCCTCAGACTCTTCCAAGAAGTCTCAGGGTCTTGTAGGGAAGTGCTGTCCTGTTCAGGTGGCAAAATGCTCTCAGCACCTTTCCACAATCAGAGGTTGCAAGGACAGGATGGTGCAGCCAAACTGATAAAAACTGAAGTCTAATCTCTTTTTTTTTAAATTTGATAAAGAGTTTTACTATAGCTGGTGCAAAATCTGGATTTTATTGTACACCTGAATTGTGCTTGTGTTTTAAAAAGATGTAACAGGAAGAGAAATACTTCCACAGTAAAATGGTGCAGGAGTTACAAGGGATGGAAGGACCTGCTGCATCCCAGACCATAAGTTTCACATATTTTTTCCTGGAGAAAGAGGGGGAAAATATATTTTTTTAACAAGCTCCCCACTGTTGGATGCAAGGAATTCATCTGACCTTGAACATAAAAATGACAGGCAGCCAAACTAATCTTAACTGGAACTTGGAAGTCATGAATGTTTCACAAATAATAAATAAGCCACGATAGGAGGAATAGATTTCTCCAATGGGCTGAAGGTCACAGTGAGCAGCCCAGGGCAAGAATCATTTCCACTTGGATCTATAAGTCAGTCCCAGGGAAATTCTCCTGCTTTGAATAGCAAATAACCTCACTTGGGCAGAGCAGGACCTGTCCTCAGCCCTCCTGCTCCAGCTACAGGCAGTGCTGCAGCTGGGAAGACAAATTTGGGATAACTGATGGATGTCTGAGGCCACTGAGGCATCCTGAAAGTCAAGGTGATGGAGGCCAGGCTGGGAGCAGCAGGGGTTTGTTTTGTCTGTTCTTTTTGAGGACTTTGAGGTGTTTAAGTCCTTCTTGAAAGCTCCTGCTCTGCCCATTCCTTAAGCCTCCAATTCCAGCATTATCTTTGACCTGCAACTCATTGATGTCTTACACACATCCAAAAGTCACATCTGAGGCTGGAAAATTCCACCAAATGCTTCCATGAAATCATTTTTCCTATTCCTCATCCCCAAACTCCTTTTATTTTATTTTTGTTTTGGCTTTTGTGTTTCCATTAGTGCAGATTTCTCTCAGGTGGCCTTACCATGTGCAAAGATTAGGAAAAAATAGAAGACTCAAACCAAACAGCACAAGACTCAAAATAATCTTGAAATATTGGTTTTGTTGCCTCCTGGCCTAGTCTGCCATCAGCCTGGTAGGTGTTGGATTAGAAAAAAGAGCTACAGAAGAGTGAAAAGCAACTGAAAGCTTTATTTTTGGAGAATATAAAGCTTGATTAGTGATCCTTTTGGATCTTGAGATACTGATCCACTCAAAGACAAACACATCAAGGTGACATATCTTGAGCCAAGCCCAAATGCTTCTGGAGACCACAGAAAAAGAAGAAACAGAAAGAATATTACAGATACTGAAGAGTATTTTAACTTACTAGAACAGGGACTCAGTGCAGGTAAAGAGCAACTAAACAATTTTCTGAGTCATGATCTGTTGAGTCAGAATTGCCCTTCACTGACTGTTCCAAGAGAAAAATTATTTCAGGCAAATACCTTGACTTTCTAGCCCTGTTTGGGGAATGCTGAAAAAAACTGAGCAGCACTAAGGACCAGCAGAACACTTTCAGAATATTCATCCTACACAGAAAGAATGGCAGCATTTGGTGACTTTTTCTGTAGTAAAAAGTTTTTTTCCTAGGATCTTTTTGATAACTATGGATGAGTACATTTTCTAAATAAATTTCAGTATTTTGCCAGGCTAAATGAAGTGAAGGTCCTGAGAACAGGAACGAGAAAAGGATTTGTGTGGTTGTTTACTTAAGGCATGTTGGGTTTTTGAATTACACTTGCTTTGGAGAGTGCAGAGATCGTGGTTTTAACCTGAGGGTCAGATTTGTGACCCTCAACTCTGAAATGACAACAAATCATCAAAATTAGGTTCATCAGGGCAATGGGTGGAGAAACATTTGGAAAAGAAAACACTGGAGACAACTGGAAGTGTCAACTACTGTGTAGAGGGAAAAGGGAATTCATGAATGATTTTACTAAGCTGGAATGAAAGATAATCCATGTCATCCTCATTAAAATAAAAACAAAAATAACAATTAACTATATTAACTTGGTGAAGTCCCCAAGTTTCCCATCTGGATGTCATCCAGCACTCTCCCCAACTGCACCACTGCAAGTTTTAAGTCTATTTTTCTTATTATTATTTAAGTGTTGTGAATCTTTTCTCTCTCAAGAAGGGTGGTGAGAGAAAGAGAGGAAGCTTATAAATCATTTGCCCAGAGGAGCCATCATTTCATGAATATATTTGCTCTCTGCCAAGTGACCAAACAGAGGTCAAGTGAATTTAATTTAACAAATCAAAGTAGCCACCAGAAAAATGCACGTCCCTTGATGTGTTTTAATGCAGGGCTGCTTATAAAATGGTTTATTTTTATAACACCTTCTCCTCCTCTGCCTTCCCTTCTTTCCCACATCATCCATGAAAAGCCCTGGTGAATTTATTTCATGCACAAAACCTTTAGGGCAGGTAGGGATGATCACTACCTAAGTCATCTGGAGGTTTTACCTGACAAATCCTTCCTTGAAGTTGACAGACCATTAAAATGCAGCCACTGGGTAAGAGAAATGAATAGTTCTTGTGTTTTATTATTTCAGCAGTTAGGAAAAGGTGACCATGGAGCACTGGAATACAAGCACACAGCTGGGACACACAGCTGGGACAAAAGGCACTTGTTCTCATGAACAGCAGGATTATTCAAGTTCAATCTACATGGTATCAATTTGCTGAAAATAAACTCTGGTTCCCAGAAAAACTTGAAGGTTGGATGGCAACATCTTGTCTTACTTGGATTTTCAGCTACAAATACTGGGCCTATGGGGACACCTGTCCAAGACAAAATGGTTCTTGTCAGAGTGTTTTAAAGCAACTCGTGATATTTTTTATCAATATGTGATTTAATCTGATCTGTAAAACACCTCAGAGGTGCCTTCCATTCATTGTGCCTCTGATTCATCCAGTTTAGTCAACTCGATTTTTAAATTTAAATCCAACTGAATTAAATTAAATTTCCAACAAAAGCCCCCCTGAACATGAAAATTCAGCCCCTGTATCTGATATCAAGACTGTCAATATCCCTACATCACCTGATGTGCAAGGAGAAATCAAACTCAACTTCACCCTCCCCTAATCACATCTGCAATGACAAAAGGAGTAAAAAATTCCCTTTTTCTCATTTAAGCAAGCAGACAGAACCTAAAGGTGAGGCCACGTGCAGTCCTGCTGACAATATGAAAGTCCAGAAAATTCTCCTGAAGTAAATTCAGAAATTAAAAATTCCCATTGGTGACTTAAATCCTTCCCAGGAATGCACAGCTCAGTGTGAGAGTCACCCTGGCTCCCTGGAATCCCTTGGTGCTGTCAGCACACTGGGATATTCTTGAAGGTGTTTTTCTCCCAAAATGTGCCAATCCCACACCTCTGCTCCAGTCCTGGGGAAGGACTTTTCCAGCTCTTCAGGAGGATGTGACCACCCATCCATGTTTTTGCTACCAAAGCCTGCAAGATGAATCCATGCCCTAATTCTTGAAATTCTCAGCTGCCTGTTGTAGCTGCTTTGACATCATCTTTAATTCTTATTTCAACTCATATAATAGTCTTGTTTAAATATTATTTTTTTAAATGTCTTTTTTTTCTTCTTCTTTTTTTTTTTTTTTTTTTTTAATTTAATTTAAACAGGGGAATGAGCCCTGGCTCTTCTGAGTGCTGGAGAATGGAGCAGCATCCACATTCCAAACTTTTACCAGCATGGATGGTGCTTGAAATAGAGGAATGAGACTCAGGAGCCCTTTGCCCAAAGCTAAAAATCCATGGTAAAGGCAGCAGGGATGCAAGGAATAATTAGAGAGAGAAATAAAGTAATGGAATAAAAGTTAAGGAGAGGAATATTCTGGAATGTGACAAAGGCTTCCCAATATTTTGCACCCAGTTCAGGGGTTGTTACTGTCCTGTGACTGCTTTTTCCTGTGATACATTAAATCTCTTGTTTGGGATTGGCTTATTATAATAAACAACACCCAAATCCTGGTAAAATAACAACAAAATAACAATCCATGACTGCTGGAGAAGACACCTCTTTGCCACCAAATTTCTCATCAAGAGACAGAGACATCCAGCTTAACCAAAACTTTGCCTATCCAGCCATTTTCAGGTCCTTTATGCTAAACTGGGACAGGACTGGTCTCACCAGTGAGTTTTGGGATGTCTGTTTGCTATAGGGACATTTAAGGATTTGTTAAATATTTCACTGGGATTCCAAAAGCTTTTGCTCACCTTCCTATTGAAAACTGGATCACTGCATGACAGAATAGTTTGGGTTGGGAGTGTTTCAAGATCCCCTAATTCCGTTTTTCCCTGCCAGGGACACTTTGCACTAAGCCAGGCTGTGCCAAGCCCAGTCCAAGGTGACCTGGAACCAGGAATTCCCAGCTGGGGAAGTTGCACCTCCATGTCCTGAGGAACAAGTGCCTTGCATTGAAGCTCACTGCAAGCAAGGGGAGCAGCTGCACCACCTCAGCTCCACATTCCTGCAGCACAGAAGTCTCTGCCAGCAACTACAGCCACGGCCAGGAGCTGCAAAACCTCATGCAAACCACTGCCAATAATTCCAGTTAACCAAAGCTTGGGTAAAGGGGTCATTCCTCTGAAAAGCAATAACATAAAACTAAGGGAAAGCATGTTTTCCATTGGCCCAGTTATTATTTGAAAGTCATTTGTTCACAGAAATCAAGAGTTGCTCACACTGAACTATAAAAGCCATGAAGCCTGAGCAAGATTGGAAAGTCTCAGGTTTATGTCATCTCCAGGCTAATATTCACTGCAGATATTTAGATATTTGCTTGTTTTTGTGTCTGTTTTTTTCAGCTGAGAGGGGGTTATGTGTGAGGTGACTTCAGTCTGTCCAAAAAATCTGTGAGAAATGGCACTAAAGAGCTGCAGCTCTGTAAGAACCCATCAGATGCACCCAAGGAGAAAAGTTCTCTGCTTTGTACCCGTTCACGCTGCATTAATGACAGGATTTCAATGGAAAAACTCGTTTGCTCTGTGCTATGCAAATGAGGCACCACCAGCAGCATCTTCAAAGCAGGAAATAAAAGCGTGTGAGTGAGCAAAATCAACTTTATAGTGAGATAAAAATTATTATCCCACTCATTAGGTGGACCTAATGCATTACCTCTGCTGGGACCTTTGGACTCTGAAACATGCAATGAGAGAAATCATTGAGGGAAAAGGAGGAGAAAAACAGAAATCATTAAGAATCCTAATCTTTAATTTTTGCTTTAAAAAACCTTACAACATTGAAACACCCCACAGTTCTCTCCAAACAGGAGTTGCTACAAACACTTTATCACCTGCACATATTTTAACATTCTCTCCATGGATCAGATGTAGCAGATTTAGCAACCAATGCTGGAGCACTACATCAAAATTCTATTATTCTGTGCAACTGCATTATGCATTAAAATGCCTTGTCACCACCAGATTCTCCCCCTCAAAATGACTCCACGCTTGCTGGGCAGAATATCTATCAGGAGGAGATCCTTCAGTTGATCTAGGATTTGGAAAATAAGCTTACATTTAATTTTTCACCTTTTAAAGAAATGCTTTGGGTCTACACTGGTGTTTTTAAGGCCTGAATTATGACCCACCACAAATTTAGGACCACTGGGAGGTCAGGGACTTTCTTCACAGCCTTTCCTCTGTCTAGAGGTGGACTTGAACTGACATAGAGACCCAAACCTCTTCCTTTCTCCCACAATTTTTCCCTCCACCCAGCTGAAAGTTCTGGAAGAGCTCTTAAGCTGCACAATGCTCCTGAGCATCCCACAGGGGCTGGGACAAGACCTGGGAACTTCCCCAGAGCAGCACATCCAAACCTATCTGTCCCAAGGATCCAGGAGCACATGGAGTGGTCCATTTTTCAAGGATATTTCCCACTTATGCTCCTAATCACTGGTAGAATAATTTCCTTTTTTTTTCTCAGTTTCCCCAGGAGATCTGCAGATACTCACCCTGTTACTGCTCAGGTTATAAGGAGGGGCTAAATCCTGGCGGCTTGCAGAAAGCTGGAAGAGTTAAAAGAAGCAGAATTATTTCTTAACAAGAACTTAAAAAAATTCACAGCTATGCCTCTTGACTAGTAAGGTTGAAAAGAAAGAGTTTTGTGGTTAAAGCAGAATCAAAATTCAAGAGATTAAAGGTGAGAATTTAATTCTTGATCCAGAGGAGCCAGAATTTGACACTGGTGTGATTACCAGTTCAATCAAATGATTATTTCCCAATTTTGGGCAGCAGAAATTTTGTGCATTTTTCTTATGCACAACACTGGTACAAAGCTTAAGTTCAGCATATACTTGCAACTTGTTTTTAAATCTTCTAAAGAAAAAGAGAAAAAAAAATCCCCTCTTCAACTTGGAAGGGAAAAATCTCCCGTGTTCAGAAAAAAAAAAAAAAAAAAATAGCACAGAGGGGTGAAAAAGAAGGAAATTCTTTGCTCTATTCCATGAGTCCAGGAGCTGAGAATGAAGAGTGGAGCTGCTGGAGATGCCAGCAGGGAAAACTCACCCGATTCACGTTGGGGGAGCTCAGGCTCCTGCGGTAGAGTTTTCCTTTCCCCATCAGCTGCTCCTTTACAGCAACTTCCTGGCAGTCACAGAGAACAAAACAAAGAAAAGAAATGTATTTGGCAAGAATTAAAGCTCTGATTGTCCCAGGATAGCTTTGTCTATACAAGTCAAATGTTTCTAAGCTGCCTTGTGGCACAGGCTGCTGTCTGTAAAGTTTACACAGCTAAAATTATGAATGGATAAATTTTAACATCTGGTATTTTGCTGATTGGCACGTGGAAGATTTTGCAGCTAGTCTTGATTCTAGGAGATGACAGAGATGCAAAGACTCTCTTTCCTAGCTGAGCTCCTATTTTAATCCTTTAAACTAATTATAAATGACAGGAACTTGCTTTCAATATTTAAAGTGCATCACACTTTCCTGTGAATTTATAGTGGGCAGGCACAAGCTCCAGCTTGTTTTGCATAACTTTTCTCTTTGTGCTTGCATAATTTATATCCAGGAGAATTTTCAATAAATGCTTTTCTGTCCTGTATTTTTCCTGGTAAACAGATCAAGTTATAGTAGTTAAAATTAACCCAATCAATGTCTTTTTTTATTGGCAGGATGGCTTCGGTGAATTCAAAGTAGAATGTGGGCAAAGTGACAAAAATTCTGGCAATTGCAGAAAGTACTGCTAAAGCTTCAGAAATCAAAATCAAACACAATTCCTCTTCCTGAAGCAGAATTAGCAATGAAGAGCCTTAAAACCAAACCAAGCAGCCCAGAACTGTGCCCTGAGCAGAGAACTCCCAGCCCCATCTGTGCTGGAGGACATCTCTGCTTGCCTGGATCTTTGCCACAGGCTCACTTTGGGAGGCTGAGGTGTGCACTGGGCTGGTTTTTGGGGTTGCTTGGTAGTTTGTGTGCACTCAGCAGCACGTTTGGATTGCACACAGTGCTCTCAGAGCACTCCCTGCTGCAGCCCTGCAGCCACACCTGGCGCAGCCTGTCCAGGGTGAGGATGTTCTCCACGGCCAGGACGCTCCTCAGGTATTTCTCAATGTAGGCTTCAGAGTCAGCTGAAGCTGCATCTTCCACGTTTGCTGCCATCCTGGCCAGTGCCTCCCTCTCCTCAGCCCCTTGAGCATCCTGGGGAAGCAAAAAGAGAGGGGAAACATTTTAAAATAAACCCCAAATCTCTCACATCACTCCCAGAGAAAATGCATTTTTAAACCCCATGGCACTAGGTCAGCACTGTTTGTCCTTAAGCTCAGGGGCAGATGAGAATCATGGAATAGTTTGGGTTGGAAGAGAACTTAAAACTCATCCCATTCCACCCCCTGCCATGGGCAGGAATACTTTTCACCATCCCAAGTTGCTCCAAGCTCTGTCCAACCTGGCCTTTGACACTTCCATGGATGGGGAGTCCAGAACCTCTCTGGGAAATCACTGCTTCACCACTCTTGGAGAAAAGGATTTCTTCCTACTTTCTATTCTAAATTTCTTCCTAATATTTATTCTAAATTTCTTCCTAATACTCAATCTAAGATTCTGATCCAAACAAACTCCTCGTGCCATGCAACCTGCACAGGTGCTCCTGCCACTGTCACAGACATCTCAAGCTGTACGTGGTTATTGTTTTGAGGCTTTTTGGGTTCTTTCTGAGAGTCTCACAGCAAGACATTGCCATTAATTAGCAAAAGGGCTGCATTCAGATATTTCATAATTAAAAAGCGCTCGAGTACATTTGGGGTGTTATCGAACCTGAGAGGAAAATAAAATTTCGAGTGAGTTGCAAGAAGAAAAAAAGTAGAACATTGCTTGAGAAGCATTTCAACACAGAGTGCAAAATGCAGCAGAACATGAAAGAGTCAGGCAGCAATCAGGGTTTTGGCTCCTCATGTGTTAATGTTTTCACAAGTGCTCTGATAGAGAATTCTTTGGAAGGAAAGGATTAGCATCTAACTGGGAACATGCTCAGGAATCAAGAGTTACATTACTGAGTAAAAGCCACTTTGTTATTTTTTTTTTTTTTCCACAGATTCTTGTGCTCCCTGCAGCAGGCACTTCACCTGCCCATTTTTCCTCCCTTTTTTCCCCCCCCTCCTCTCTCTTCAAGGACCTGAGCAAATAGATGCTCACTCAACAAAACACACAGTGACACTGATAAGACAGAGGTTGCTGCTAAGTCACAGCATGTAAAGGCTCCATTTTTTACAAACCACGGTTGATGCTGGCAGCAGCAAGAGCCAGCACGCTCAAAGTGATGGGAGAAAGCACAAAATTAGAGGCTCTTGGCCCATTTGAGACACTCGGATTTCTTCTTCACCTCTGGAATGTTGGAGACTATCTCAAAAGTGACGCCACAGCCAGGGATGGAACTTCGGGGGGACATTCTTCGCAGGAAACTCTGTGCAAAACCCTGCAGGGGAGGAAACAGGAGGAAAACGTGGATTAACAAATTCCAGCTGAAATAAACAGGAGGAAGATGTGGATTAACAAATTCCAGCTGAAATAAATACAGTTCACAACGAAAGAAGCCCAAATTCCAACGTCTAACCAAAAAATATATAAGAGCCGAAGATTTCAACTTGGAAAAAATCATTTGCTTGCTTATTGCTGTTACAGAGAAGGATTCACTTCCTTCCTTGCAAGGTGACTGTTTCACCAAGCATCAGCTGCTTTTAGAGGTGGTTTTTTTTTTCCTGACAGAGCCCTAGGTGACTTCTCTTGAATATTGACAAGTACAGACATTAAATTCTTGACCAAAGAGATCGTTATGAAGAATGATTTAAGGGGCATGGTCATTGTTTATGCTGACTTGGCGCCTTGCAGGGTTAAGAACTGGACTCTTGAATTAATGCAGAGATGAGTCATTCAAAGATGCTGCTGAGACAAACTCCCAGGAAAGGTTATTGACGGGGGTTTTTAGAAAAACAGCAAGAAAGCCAAAGATTCTGTGTGGAATGAAAGTAAAAAATGGCATTGACTAAATCTGTAGAAAACAGAATTGATGAAGACTTCACCCGATTGTGATTATTGGCACATTCAATTGATCTGTTCAGGACAGTCTCCCATTCCATATGACCAAAAAATTCACTGTTCTTCCCTTGCTGAGAGAAAGCTTCTGCCTGATGGAAGCACCAAGAACTGGGGCTCTGCTTCCAGCACTGGGAGCTGCCTACAGGGTTTCTGGGTGTGACCACACCCTTTTCTCTTCGCTCCTGTTTCAGATTTTAACTACAGATGTGCAACCAGAATAACAATCCAGGCTTTCTGCTTTGTCATTATCACTGCCAGGGGAGGCTGGATTCTCAGACAGTGCTGAACAAACTCCTTCCTCCCTCATCATTCTCAGGATTTATATTATTTTCAGGGCATGATGCTGCAAATGGAATGACAACTTCACTGCCTGCCATTTATCAAACATCCTGCTCTCACCTACACATTACTGTAAGAGCACCAGCTGGAAAACATAAAGGACCAAGAGTGATTAACTCTGGTGAATTAACAAAAGGGATCTCTCCTCCAACTATCCCTGGTTGATTTCTAAATATTCTAAATTTCTGGAGGTGTAAAATACAAATGGTTAGCAGCAATGTGTGAACTTAATACAGGGCTAGGGAAAGACAGAAATCCCTTTCTGCAAAATATTAACTCCGAGCTCAAGAGAAATTAACTCTTCTTTTTCCAGTCAGAGAGCACTTAGGGGGTTAAGAGGAAAAATTAATTTCTCATATTTAGACACCCTAAAAAACGAGCTGTGTCATCACCCACAACACAAGAGACACCAGGGGAAAAGACTTGGCAGCTCAAAGCCTCGCTGCTCCAAAACTTCCACCCAGGCTGAGATGGGAGGAGAGAAGAGGGAATTTTAAGTCGTGGGCAGTGGGAAGGGCTGCAGGGACGTGCACCTGTCTGCCATAGACGTTGACACAGATGCGTTTCCTCAGCACCAGCTGCATCTCTGCGGGGTGGCTGAGCTGGACAGTGGCTCTGACAATCAGGTAAACCCTCTCCTCTGCCACCGTGCCCTTGCTGAGCTGGATGCAGTCGTGGACCGTGGAGTCCCACGAGGCTTCTGCTTTCACCTGCAAAAAGGAGAAGGGGTGGGGGAAAAAAATAAAAAAATATAAATGTATCCTCTAATAAGCATAATTAGGTGTATAATTAACTGTAATTAATTAAGCGTCATTAGCAAAAATACATAATACATAAATTCTGAGAGTCAGCTTCTCCGTTTCGCTCCCTGGGAAGAAAAAAAAAAATAAAAAATCCCCTGCACTTTAGAAGAGGCCATTTAAAAATCAAGATCAGTTTGCCAAATGAAGACGTTGGGATTAAAAATGCCAACTTGCTCAAACTCTGGAACATTTCCTCTTGAAAAAAGATCTTTGAATACCCAGGATCATTGCAAATAAATTATAAAATATGCAGAAGTGCAGGACCATTTGGCCTAATTTATTAAGATAAACCAGAGAGCAACAGAGATTGCAGTGGAAATCTTCCATCACACCACAAAAATTTTCCTGTCTGTATTTGAGAAATAACTTTGCTGAAGCCTTTCTAGCAATACAGTAAAAGCTGGAATTTTTCTTCTTGCACGTTAAAATAAAAGATTTTATTGAAGATTTAAATGGTTTCTCTTCAAGCCATAAGAAAACTGGCCTGGTAGCCAAATTTCCAGGCTCTAAATACAAATCAGAAGAAAAAAAAATCCCTAAGTGAACTACCAGGAATAAAGCTGCTCTGAAAAACAAAGAAGTTTCAGAGAAAGGAGCAAAGCTTTAAGGAATAAAATAAGTCAGAGATTCTAAACCTAATAGCAGAAATTATAAACTAACATTTGTAAAGTTGTGAAACTATGAGATATGTGGCACAATGGAAGATAATGAGTGTAACAATGCAGAGGTAAAAATGTTTACAATTAAGATTGATTGGTTTTCCAGCTGGGGCTTTTGCACTCTAATTTGCTCAGGGATTTTGCTTTGTTAAACACAATCTCAGGCTTTTGGAATGCCTGGATTTGGATGAAGGATGTTCCTTCAGTTTTACTCTTTTCCAAATCATGGTTATACTCCTACTGAACATTCCTTGAAAACACAGTTGCTCACAGGAGAAACATTCTTTCAAATGTTTCATATGCATTTCTAGGACATATTTGATGTATTATTTTCACATGTGAACGTATGAAAAGAACAATTAAAAGACTAAAATTCCCTGGTGTGCAGCTTCCCTTACCTCACTGTCGTGATGCTTCACAATCTGCAGCTCAAAGAATTCCTCCTCCTCCTCTGCCACCAGAGTGGCATCCCAGCCTCCTGCCTCTGGGTCATCCAGGTTATCCTGGGAGCTGAAGTCATCAGCTGCAAACAGGAGGGCATGTGGAAGGTGAGGAAACACAAAGCAATCATCCTTTTTAAAAAACATCAGCAAGTCATGAATTCATATTTTTCATCCTCAGCTCCCCAGCTTGGCTACTTAAGACTTCACCTACAAAATTAAAGCTGCAATTGTTCCACTTAAAAAAAAAAAAAATCCCATTTCTACAGAGAAAATGTGCACAAAGATTTGGGGACACAGGCTCAAATGTGTCTAATAAAGGGCAGGAATCTCCCCCTGTGGCAAGCACCCCTTCCTTGCCCACAGGTGGATTTTCAGCACTGAGCTCATTTGGCATTAAAGATGTGGTGCTGTTAAGATAAGCTGCTGGTTGAATAGGAGAAAAATTTTAAATCATGATCAAACAAACCCTTAAGCAGGGTTTTGAGAAACTCAAACTTTTCCTGGCTGGAGTTCCTCCCCAAGAATTATTAACCAGCTCCTCTCTTTGCCATTGGATCCATGGATGTGCTGTCCCACGTGGAAAAACCACCAAAGTCAGAAGATTGCAGCTCAGGTCTCCTCACAACAGCCTGAGTGTCACCTCCCCTCCTCCCCTGACACTTCTCATCCAAATGTTAACCCTCTTTTAAACATCCCATCAAGGATTTATTTAATTGGATTGCTTTATTTAACTCCCTGGATTGCTTTGGGGCTGTCACCTTCTTGGTTCCAGTTGCCCATCTCTGGGCAGGACCATGTGACAAAGACATTGTTCAAACTGGATCTTGCATTGGGATGCACTGAAAACACGGGATATTAAAACTTATTGTTCCTTCCATACACAATATTGTTTATTTTGAAACATTAAAGAGTATGTTTCAGGAAAAAATGGGCACTTCTCCAATTAATCCACCTGCCATTCCAGGCTTTTGTGAATTTTAAGAGCTTCCTTCAGTTCTGTAATGACACTGGATGGACAAAATTTGCTTTCAAATTATTCTGCCATCTTAAGGGCCACTTACCATTCAGGTCAAGGAATATGACAGGAATGTGAGTTTCCATACCAGACACAGGAGTCCTAAAATACAAGACAGGGACAATGGTGGCATTTAAAGCAACAGAGATTTTACCCAGCACACGTCCCTGATGACCCAAAGCCCCAGGACATTGCATTCAGTCTGCAATTTTTAGCCAGACCATTGATAACCTTGCCAAACCTCTTTATTTTAATTTACTGCTGCAGATTCCAAGAGACTCAAATAAATTAGTATTTCTTTTATATCAGCTCTCTTGGAATCATTATCTTCTTTGACCTCTGCTTTCTGAAGTGTTTTCTCTCTCTTAAATGCTAATAGCAAAATTAAGTTTATTTACTCTGACACACACACTCTCATGAAATGCAAACCCCTCTACTTCAGTGATGGCAGGGAAAATGGGGAATCAGAAAAGTCAGTCTCAAAGTGTTTAAACTAATACTGATGCTGCCAATCCACACAGTTACTACTCTTTCTTACAAAACAAATATTGAAGAGGCAAAACTGATGAATTTATAGCGAACAAGAGCAGGCTGGAGTCTTATGTAATATATAAAGTGCTTGAATCACACTGAACATTTCCTCTGGTGCAAACCAGATTCCTCCTGGAGCAAGTTTCCTGCAGCTCCACTGTTTTCAAACCTAATGAAACACATTGATGTGAAAGTTGATGTGTTTCCAACAAGAACTTGGTGTTTTCTACGTTTTAGAAGCTCTGACAAACTTCAGCTTAAAACTCCATGACACTCAATTCCATCAATAAACACTGTTAGAGGTTTTCTCAGAGAAGATGTTCAGGAAGTTGCAAGCAACTGAAGATGAGTTTGAGGTGAAACAACCCTGAATCCTCATCTGCAGTTGCTGCTCACAGCTGATCCAAGCACAGCAGTCTCAGTCTAGTGCTCTCTACTATTTTTAATGTTCACAAAATTACAGGGAACACTTGCTGACTAAACAGAGTTTGTTCTCAAACCAGGAGTGCAACAAAATGCTCCTGGAGATGCAGTTTTATGATGAGAGGGCAGCCTTTTAAGTGAATGAACTAGGTAGTTAACATATTAGCTAATTTTTTTAAATGGCGAGTGCAGTGGTAATAAATATTGATTCCTTTTTTCAGAAGGTTATAATTATACCCTGATCAATAACAGCATCGTTTACCAAACAGCATTTCTGGATTTCAGAGACACAACCTGATAAAATAATTTAAACAAGAGGCCTAATTTTAACAACTTTTCTCATGCAGGGTACAGAGGCCAGATTGAGGAGAGGGAAAAAAAAAAAAATGGTCATAATCCAAAGCCAAGAACGGGCTGTGCATCATTTTTACATCCCTCCTCTGGGAATGGATGTTCCTACCACTCTGCTGGAGCTCCAGGGATGCCACTGCCAGCAGAAGGAACCATCACAGCATTCCTTTCTTCGGTGAGAGTCAACCTCATCTCCAAAAGCTGAGCCTCCCGATCGGCGTCGTCCTCTGTTTTATCTGCAAGGCAGGATGGAGGTCAGGACAGCAGAGCAGCTCTGAAAAAAAGTGTCTCTGCAACGTGGCACTGATTTTACAGCACCCATGGCAGGATAAACCCTGCTCTGCTCAAAATCCAGCACACAAAGATCCACCCCAAAACTACAAACAACTTCATAAAGGCTTCTCCAACTTGAGCTTCGCCCCCCAAAAAAGCGAATTACAGCTGAGTTCAGAGATCCAAATTTCCAGGAACGTCTCTTCTAAATCTGATGACATATTAAGGTAAGAAGTGTGTGCACATCTCTCAACCTTTTACTGTGATTACCCTTTTAATATCATTTTCTTTACCAGGTTTGCCCACGAGTTTCTGCAGCTGCTGATCAAGGTACTCCTGGCGCTTTGTTAAGGCACAGAGCCACTTCCGACGGAGCCTCTCCAAATCCCTGTCCTAAAAAAAGAGAGGGGGGGGAAAAAAACCACACTAAATATTAATATTAAATAAATGGAATTACATTTATTAAATATTGGCCCAGGAAAGCCAAGGTTTCCTCATTGTGGTTTATACATTTTCTCAACATTTCTGCTCATCCTACAGCCAAGCAGAAGAAAGGGAAGACACATCCAGACCCTTCAAATTTCCACATCTTATTTGAAGTATTTTGCTTGCCAACTCTCTTGCTTTTTTTTTCTCTACTACCCAGCTGAAAAAAACCCTTCATTTTATACAATTCTTTGCCCCTAAACTACTCCAAAACTCTCTAACCACTGGAGCTGGAAACCCCAAGTCCTCACCATTCCCCTCAGTGTTTAGCAGACTCATGTCAGGAATCCATCCCTACCCCACACCATCCCACAGTTATGGAATTTGCAAAAGTGTCCTGAAAATAATTTTTTTCAAGTGCTCATATCCCTTAAAAAAAACCCCAAAGCACCTCAGCATCCTTAAGAACATTCAGTTCCTTGTCTAGAATGCTTTGATCTGTAAACTTCTGCATTTGTAGGAGAGAATTTTAAATTTTTACCTGGTAACTGTCCATTTCATCCTCTTCTTCCTAGGCCAAAACACAAAAAATCACGCCATTAATTTTTTTAATAGCAGGAGACACTGAATGCAAAAGGTATTTTAAGCAATATTAACAGTCTTACATAAAAATAAAAGTCTGAGTTTAGCAATGGCATGGTCACAGAATTAAAACACACTGACATCCCAAAGATTTGCTGCTATCATCTCATCCAAACACCAACCTGAACAATCCAATAATTATAATGGAAAAACTCACAGTAATGTAACTATCACAAGTAATAATAATTGAAGGAAAGTGGAATACAAGAAAGAAAAAGCTTAAAACCTCTTGATCCTGGATAGCAAAGAAAAATGCTGCTTTACCTCTAAGACTTAAGTGTGAATGTTACAGCAAGTGCTGAAAAATCAGTCTGGATAAAATCCCAGAATCTCAGAACTGATAAAGTTGGAAAAGAATTTTAAGATCATTGAATCCAACCATCAACCATCCAGATGTTTTTTGAATACTTCCAGGGATGGGGACTCTACATCTGCCCTGGGCAGCTGTGCCAGGGCTGGACAACCCTTTCCGAGAAGGAATTGTTCCAAATATCCAACCTGAACCTGCCTTGGAATAATTTAAGGCTGTTCCCTCTCATCCTGACCCTGTTCCCTGGGAAAAATCCCAATCCTGCCTGGCTGCCCCCTCCTGTCAGGGAATTCCAGGGAGGAAAATTCCCTCTGGAACCTCCTTTTCTCCAGGCTGAGCCCCTTCCCCAGCTCTGTTCCCTTCCCTGGACATGCTCCAGCTCCTCCAGGTCTTTCCTGTCATGGGGGACCCAGAACTGCCCCCAAAAACTGAGATGTGCACAAATGACTGGAAGAACTGTAAAAATCTACTATAATTATTAAGGAATTAAAACAGCAGCCACCCCAGGAGGGACAATGCAGACCTTCAACCTTTTCTTCCCATTATTTTCCAATGGCAGACACCACTTTTAATTCCTGACCTTCATCCCAAGCAGAGTCACTTGCCAAGAGCACAATTGCCCCTCCTCACAGGGAATGGAAAAGGAAAGAAGACTCCAATCCTCAAGGAGTTATTACTTATCTAGTTAAGCAATAATGAGCCACCAGAGCCTCCTTTTCTACCATAATCATGAAAGCAAAAACTTAGCTAAGCTAAAATTAAAAGGCCATAGAGAAGAGGCAGCATTTCCTCAGTTCAAGGTCTTTAGAAAATCTTTCACATTCCAGAGCTACCTCATTTACCTGAGATAAGAGAAATGATAATAAAGGGACTGAAAATCCAGGTGTTGATATCCAAATCCTATTGTAAGCAACAGGTCTCATAAAATCTGATTTTCAATGGTCCTTTCCCATGGGGGTTATCAGTGTCAGGCACAACTCACTGGTTTTTCTCTCTCTCAAGTTGGGTTTAACAGAATGTACTAATTTTGGGGACTGTCAGCTCTGTGGGATAAGTCTGGTCTGGAACTGCTCAGTGGGTCAGGAATTCACTGGGGAATAAATAAGGTGAGGCAGAGAGGATGCTCCCCTGGGACTTGATCCTACAAAACAGCTGAAAGGGGCACTTGGAGGTTTTGGGTCAAGGAAAAACTGCAAGAATCAATCATTCTGTCCTAGGAGAGTAATTTGCTCCATTTCAGGAGTTTCCTGGCTTTATAGGAAGGAAATGTGGCTATCAGGGGCTGCTGTGATGGAAAAGCTGCAGGGAGAGCCAGCAGGAGCAGAGTGGGAAATAACAGGAACAATCTGCCCAGGGTGCTGCTGGAAAGGTGCAAAAATTCCCCTTTTTGTACCCTGGACACACAATGGGAAAGGACTGCCCCAGTCAGGAGACAAGAGAAATCCCAAATACTTCAAAGGAAATGCCATCCTGAATAAGAAAAAAAAGGGGATCAGACATGGACTGAATCACACACTGTCCACAGGGTCAATATTTTGGGATAAATATTTTGGGATATCTACTTTTTCATTTAGCTGGCCTTGTCTCAAGCAGGGCAGCAAATCAAACAAGTTCAGAGATTTGTTGTGCTGCACAAGATTTTGGCTGTGCCAGCCCCAGGGAGTCACTGAATTCTATTTTATCTGTTGGGAGGAAAAAGTTAAAGTGCACCAGAAACTCCCAGGAGCATTGCAAGAAGACAATGCCTAAAAAGAGAGGGATACACATGAGGTGCAGTGTGTATGAGATCATCAAAAAACTGCCCAACATCCACTGTGGGCCACAAGTGGTTCATGGAATTCTAACATTTGGAATTGGAAATTATTTAAATCTATGTTGCACTGGTTTACTTTAGTTTGAATTTTTTATTTGAATACTTTAAATTAATTTTTATTTCTAATAATTACTAAATACTGCTTTCCATGTCTAATATTTGAAGTAAAAACTACATGAAAAACTCCTAATGGATTTTAGTCATGTTTGTATTTTCTTTTCTTCTAAGAGTGGGGTATTAAGGCTGTGCTGCTTTCAAAGACAGGAAAAAAACCCCAACCAAAACCAGAAGAGATACAAAACATCTTACAAGTGTTATTTCTGCCATGGAAAATGATTCCCTTCGTGCTTTCCAGCTCTAGGAAAAAAGCTGCCAGTAAATATTCAGAGTTTTACCTGATAATTTTGAGACTTGGCATGTTTTATTTGAACACAGCCAATGCCAACAGATAATATGGATTCCTCCATCAGTGGCAAGGTCCCAGATTCCTGCACAGATTTCACTTCAACCTGGATTCGTCGAGATTGCCCCTGTCCAAAAGAACAATTTGAAATGCTCGTTTAAAATAAATGAATATAAAGTGCTGAAAGTTTAATTCCACAGAGACCTCTACTGGCAGCCACTGGCAAGGAGTATTATATTTTTCTTTTAGGAGGAACAAAGTGCTGCAATCCCAATGACCCAGTGTTCAAGAGATCCCCTTCCAGTTCCAAGGATTTGTAGCCATAGGATTTATGAATTTACAGTGAAAAATAAAAGTTCAGCATTCACCAACTCCCCAGTTTACTTTTCTGGAGGGTTTTCAAACATTCCCTTATAGGATTTTATTTTTAATACTTCTGAAGGCAGAAAACGGGATCTTTTCCCCACCTATAAAAGAGGAGAGCAAATAGTCTAATTTGGTGAGCTACTGGAATTTCAGTGAACTTTTCCTGACTCTGCTCTCCTTGGCTAAAAATTCTGACCCACTGTGCAGCAAAGCAAGTGCTCTTCAGTAAAACTGTAAAGGGGAAAATAAAAGTAAATAAAAAAAAAAAAGAAGATTAAAATAAAAAATCAAAGGAGTTGGTGAGGTCAGAGGAGCAGCCTGGATGTAACTTTTACTGATTCCTCGTGTTCTTTGGGCAGCAGCTTCTCAACAGCTCACCTTTTAAAAACGTGAGCTGCTCAGTGAAGCATTAACAATTTAAAGCAGGTAGAATTCAAAGAACAAAGGAGTGCTTGGCTGGTAGGATGGAATAAAAGGGAACTCTGGACCTCTTTAAAAAATAATGCAGTTCAGTGGAGACTGATGTCCCTTCTGCCAGGTGCTGGCACAGGACAGAGCAAAAAGGTGACAGGGAGGGCTTTGGTCACCTTTAAGCTGAGTTTTGCTCTGTCTCCCACTTTATATCTGTTTTCCACAACATCACATTTTACACCTAAGCTCGGTGCTTCCCTGGCCATCCAAAGCCAAGGTCTCCAGATGTTTCCTGCACATCTGGAGCCCTGCCTGTGCCACCTCACCTGCCTGAGCTGGAAGATGCCTCCTGTGCTGACGTCCTTGGCAGGGGTCACCTCCACTGGGCAGTACTCCCCGTTCTCATTGAGCTCCAGGATCTGAACCCACAGCTCCACTTTTCGGGTCACCTCACTCCACCTGCAGAACAAATCAAGGTGCTGGGTTGTTCCTTTTGTTCTGTTGGGGTTTTTCTTCCCAAACACAAAGGAATTAAAACATCCAAACACTGAGCTCAGAGTGCAGACCGAAGCAGCAACAAACTTGCTGCAATAAATGCACCATTTGTGAGCACACAGGTAGCAGCTGTGCAGTGCTTCTGATTTTTCCTGACAGCTATTTTAGTCAAACATCAGAAATAAGCCTTTTCCTGATTCCAATACAAACCCCAATTCCACATTTAAGCTCTGGTCTCAAGTCCTGCCACAGAAGCCCAGGTGTTGTCAGGGCAATGAGATTGAGATGGAAGACAGAAGAATGAAATATGACATTGTCTCACAAGCTCTCAAGATTCAGAGCACTTTCCTGACCTCCTTCATATCACTGTTTTCTCTCCAACTCTTCCCAGAGATTAATAAGAAACAGCCACTTTTGTAGAACTTCAAAATTAAAAGGGATAGGAGTGCTCACTACTTAGCTGTTAACTCACTATTTTAGAGCATCCTTTTCCTCTCTGCTGTATTTCCCTGAATTTTATTTTAAATTTCCCTATATGCAACTTAACAGTCAACATAAGCTTAAGCTGCAAGTAAAAAGAGAAGTAATTGCCAATAAATTAAGATGCAGAGCTGCCTTCTAATTGAAGAGGCAAAACAACTCATATTTAAGAAAATCCTACAAGATTACTCTGGGGACAAAAAAAATGGTGGCAGCAAACAAACAACACCCCCCTGCAGTCTGAATTACCACAATATTGCATATTTATCCAAACTGAGGTAATAAGGAATAATACTTTTCCAGTGGAAGCATTACAGGGATGGCATTTCATGGCAAGAAATGAACTGGAGTGGCCTTTCCAATTCAAAATTATAACTCCTTACCCCAAAGCTGCTTCAAAACTGGGCACCTCAGGCAGTGATTTTTTCCTAAATTCGAAACCAAAAGATGCATTTTGCACATTCACCTGTCCCGAAGGCTGCGTGTTTTGGCTTGAATTATTCCCAAATCCCACAGGGCTGGGTTTTTGCGGTCACCGCTCTGCTTGTGACCATAAACTTCAATGGCCAAAGCACCATCATAAAGATGTTCCATGAAGTCTTCAGAAATATTCACAGAAACCTCCTGGAAGGTTAAAAAAAAAAAAAAAAAAAAATCAGTTGGGAACTGTGGCTACATGACACAGGTTGGGAGATTTTACTGCCTTGACTTTAATAAAATGCATTTAGTAAAAATTCCCCTGGTTCCCAAGATACAATCCAAGGGAAAGGAAGTGTTGTCTCAGTCTATAAAATCAGGAGGAAGGTTAAAGGTATGTGATTTCTCAAAGATTAAAGTCTATAAGGAGCTGAAAAATGATCACAGGCTGTTGCAAGCCCTGAGCCAATAGCTCAGAAAAAAATCAAAGCCTATGTTGTAATGGTCAGAATCAGAAAATGAAAACTCATCAGAAGGTGTTACATCCATTTCACAAATGGTAAGAGGAATAAATTGCTCAGTGTGATGAGGAGGGATAGAACACAGTGAAAACTGAGGTGACTGGGCTGGGATTCATCCAAACTGACTTTGGATGGCTCTGTTAAAGATGCCTCTGCCCCAAAGCCAGTGGGAAGAAAAGAGTTTGTCCTAAATAGTCTGTTCTGACCTCTACCAACCCAACCTCAGCATCCACAGCAGCCCCATGTCCCAAAACTGGGACATTTATCCTCATTTCATCAGAGTTCAGAGTGATCAGCTCAGTTACTGACATCAAATATCCTCAGATAAATATCCCTCATCCACAGTGAATTTTACTGTGGATAAATTCTAATATCCACAGTAAAATAGTCTCTGATGAAGTGATGTTTTCCTTTATTAACCCACTTCATCTTCAGTACTTTTTGTACAAATGAACAGTGTAGAAAAAAATGGACTCTGAAGACATTTAAGTTCTTATTAAAAAATATTAGTGTATCAACATAATGAAATTAAAAATGGGATTAGGGCATCAGGAAATATAATGTGAGAAAAGAGGCAGATTAAATTGCTGCACAAACCTAAATTTGCTTTTTTTTTTTTCCTGCCTTACAGTTAATTAATGAAACAGAAAAATAAATTACATTGCAGTGATCAAAGACAACCATGCACCGTGGCTCCTTGCTGATGGAAGACTGGGAAGGATCCACCTCAGGGGCAACAATAACTGGCTCCACTTGATCCCAAAATGTGTATTTGCAGAACACAAAGTTGGACAGGTGCTGTGGCAAACCTGTAGCTTGAAGTATTTTAATCTGGAAAGGAGGTGAGAAAGAAATGAAAAGCACTTCTTCATCAGGCATGGAATTAAAAACAATGTTCCACTGCAAAGGATTAAAAAAAAAAAAAAAAAATAAGAACAGCAAACCAAAAACAATTTAGGAAATAAAATTTCTGCACTGATACTCATTGGGGACAATATTTGGAGTGCAGGAGCTGAAGACAGTCACTAGATGTCACCAGGCTCATATTTCCTGGAAGGGACATTCTGCTCATTTTTAATGGTGAAATGCACTAAACCCATTGCAACTGAAGAGGAATACAATAAAAAAATCTCGTATTTCCAGTGGCTCCTTTATGCTCCAAAAATCCTTGGTTTAAGACATTACTTGCTCTTACACTGTGATGCTGGAAATAACCCAAAATCAACCCCAAAGAATGCAAAATTAGCCTGTCCCCTCATCAAATCAAGGCCAAATAGGAAGAAAATGTTGTGAATTCTCACTGTGATCTAAACAAAGCCATCATGTTCACCATATATTTAATCACTTTTATTCCCTCTTTGTCAAATTAAGACCAAATGAGTTGGACTTCTGCAGCATGATCCCCACGATCAGGCAGAAATATTTTTTGCCAAAATACCCCAAAATACTGCTTTTAAGCACTGGAGCTCTATGGGACAGGATAAAAAGTGAGGGAAAAAAAGGACAGTTTCTCCCAAATTGTTCATATTGTCCAGAAGTCAGCAAGGCTGGGGACCACTCCCTCTAATGTTTTTTTGCCTTTCTTTTCTTACCTGTAGCTTGTAGTTTTACTGTGACACAGAGCTGCTAGTAAATACTTCCTACTGATCTTCTTTTTATTACTAACAGTAACAAACACACTGTACATATTTTGCAAAACAGTTAATATTTAGAGAAAGAAATATCGAGAGAAAAAGAAATATTGAGAGATAATGATTCCTAGAATGATGGGAGCTTATCAGATTCTGTGACTCTTCTTGAATTGGATATTGCAGTGCCAATCCTAATACAGAGATCTTCCCTGCATTCCAGGAAACTTCCTGGGGTGAGCCTTTGGCATATAAATGTAATTAATGAAAGGAACAAATCCCAACTAATTATCTTGTGTTACTTCAGCCATTCTATAGAAACAAAACAAAGTCAAATCCAATATCCAGAAGCCAAGGATTTCTTTCTGACCCAGGATGGGAAGAGAAAAGGTTGCTCAGAGGTTGGGACACACGTGGAACTCACCCTGCAGACAAGTTTTCTCTCCTGGATGTCATTTTCGTTGGAGTAGTCAGGACTGTCCTCACCTCCCACCAGCCTGTCATCGATTTCCCCACTCACTCGAACAACTTCCACGTGGAGACGACCTGAAACCTGGCAGCACAGGAGTCACAATTATTTATGTGGCAGAAAGCAGGGCCAGGTTCAGCCCCTCCCAGTTCTGTAATATTTTATTCCTTTCTGTGCTGCTCTTGCACTCTGAATTTGTTGCACCACACGAAGAATGCTTCGGAGCGAGAATCAAAAAGCTTTTGTTGCAAAAACCATAAAGAAATCAATCACTGGGGTGACCTGGGGAACAATCTCACCTTCAAACCAGCCTCTGGAGAGGCTGCAAAGTGCACACTTGAAGCAGAGCATGGAGAACGTTGCCTGGTGTGCTCTGCTGCCTTTGAAGTTGTTCTTACAGAATGTATTTAAGAATCTTATTTTCCTGATGGCAGGCAGTGAAACCAGTGAAGCTATTGCTCATCTCAAGGACTTATTTTGGGATATTTCCCTCAGGAAGGTGCTGGAAGTTTTCTCCTTTCACAATCACTGTGCTGGGAGATTCAGAGCTGTCTGAAAACCCCAGGAAAGTTTTATGGGATTTACACAATTCCACGTCATTAGCAGAGAACTTGTGCACATGAAACTGGAAATTATCTACTCCATCCTGGCATAGGATCCCACAGGCTGTAATTAAACACTGGGTAGGGAGAGATGATAAAGAATAACAAACCTCTCCCTTCTGATTGATGATTGGAACAGCATATTGCAGCTTCACATCATAGAACAGGCACTCAAGGAAAACATTGGCTACTCCAATAAGGCTGTGGTTCTCCTGCTCATCGTAGAAGGGATCAGCTCTCCTGAAATAAGCTCTCATCACCTGCAAAGCAAATCCAGAGTCATGTCAGGAAACCAAACCTCCCAGGAAACACTTTCCAAAGTGTTGCACAACCAGCCCAAGTGAAAGAAAAAGGGGCTCAAGCAAGAGGCCAGATTAGATCACAAGAAGAATGGGAATGAATTTTACTTTGGGTAAAATTTACTTTGCCGGATTCCTGAATATATTATCTGCTGTTTTGTTACCTGCTGATTCCCATTGTGTGCTCCATTCCCTCACCAAACCATGCATGCAAGGAGGGATCAGAGTGACAAGATAAGGGCTCATGAAATGCTGAGGGCCAGTTCAGTACTAGGAAAAGCAAAACCTCAGGGAAACTCAGCCCTTTGCATATTCCCATCTCCACCCAACGATCCTCCTGAAAATGTAGCAGGAATGTAATTACAGGAGTAGTTTTTTACTTACTGGATTGTCTTCTTCACAGTCTTTCCACTCCTGGTAAAGGTCCCTCATATCCACCAGTCGATTTTCCAGCTTTTCCAGTGACCAGATCTGTTTGCCTTTCCCTTTCCTCCTCACCTGGATTGCAGGCTCGCTGAGAATTGCACCTCTCTGCAAAACAATTAAAAGGATGCCAAAAAGGAATTCCGTGTCACAACAGTGAAATAAGAGTTTAAAACTAACACAAACTTGAGAGTATCTTTGGGAAAAGTCTGTTCTTTTTTTTAAATTCTGGCTTGAGCAGCCAAATCCAAATGTGACAGGCTCTGAGTTCAGCTGTCACAGTGCATTGGTATGTTCATTTTAACTGGGAAGTCTAATCACAGCTACAGGCACTGGTTTCTGTGGATTTTCACCTCACATAAGTGTTAGAAATGGGAACATTTAAGCATTTCACAAATACCCTCAAGTTACAGCAGGCCTGGGGCTCCAGCTAAAATTACTACTGCCTGCAACTTCCAGCAAGAGCAGACACTTAACTCCCTTTATCATCCTGTTTCTGGATGTGTCTTTCCCAGAAAACTGTGAGAAAAATTTATAAAACAACTGACAAAAATGATAAACCTGGAATAAAATCCATCTACTGTACTAAGGACTGTCTGAGTATCACCAAAATACTCATTTGGCCTCAAGAAATAACACCAGCTTAGGTAGCCAGCCTGAGACATGGAATTCTGGGTTCAGCTCTCCCCTTCCAAAATTTCTAAGATGCCTGGGAACAAATAATCCAAATCCACCCTGCTCCAGTTCCTCCCTCCACAATGGGCATGGCAGAATTTTCACAGCTCACTGGGATGATGTAAAGTCAAATGTGCACAAAGGGACAGTAAACACTTGCAACAGATGTTACTCAACCTGCAGACTTTGCCACTCTGCAACAGCAGCAAGTGGGAACTTCAACACCAGGGGAAAGGTCTTGCACCAAAACATTTCTCTTTTAAGGCACATGATAGGATTTTCATGGTATAAAATAAGATAAGGACGTAGCAGAGACGTGCACATTAATGCACATTAGTGGAAAATTAACTCAACCATTAGTCAGAGTAAAAGAAATTTAAGGGCTAAACTTACTAAACAATCATGAAATTCAGTCTGGGTGACTGTACCTTGCTGTTGGCATTAAGGCTTGAAGCTGGGATCTGGAGGGTCACTTTGTACTCTGTCCTCTTGTCCAGTTCCTCTGCAATAAAACTGGCTTCTCTCACGTACAGATTGGCTTTAACAATCTGCTCTCGCAGCTTCCTCAGGCTGTGGGTCAGCATTTCTTCTCTGGAAGAACAGGATTGGGAAAGGGGAGACAGGAAAAATCATGAGGTTTATGTATTGAAAGCAAAACAAATGGATGAGGAGGCCACTGAGAGCTCGTGGGTGAGGACTGAAAAGGGAAGGGACAGGTGATATTAGAGTGAGGCTGCTACAGATAATGGACAGATGAGCCCCTGCAGAAAATCCAGAAAATCTCACATTCACAAGCCCTGGACTTCACCTGAACTTGTGCAAAGGTTTGGACACTGCCCTACACAGCACCCTTGGGTGCAGCTCTGGGGCTCCCAACATAAGGAGGACATGGAGAGAGTCCAGAGGAGGCCACAGAGATGCTCCAGGGGCTGGATCCCCTCTGCTCTGGAGCCAGGCTGGGAGAGCTGGGGGTGCTCACCTGGAGAAGAGAAGGATCCAGGGAGAGCTCAGAGCCCCTTGCAGAGCCTAAAGGGGCTCCAGGAGAGCTGGAGAGGGACTGGGGACAAGGGATGGAGGGACAGGACACAGGGAATGGCTTCCCACTGCCAGAGGGCAGGGATGGATGGGATATTGGGAAGGAATTCTTCCCTGGGAGGGTGGGGAGGCCCTGGCAGAGGTTTCCCAGAGAAGCTGTGGCTGCCCCTGGACCCCTGGAAGTGTCCAAGGCCAGGCTGGACAGGGCTTGGAGCAACCTGGGATAGTGGAAGGTGTCCCTGCCCATGGCAGGGGCTGGAACTGGAAGGGCTTTCAGGTCCCTTCACACTAAAATAATTCTATCATTTTTAACACAAAAATCAGGTGTATTAAATTACATTTCAACTGGGGAAAAAAACCTCTATCTATATGAATTTAGCAATATGAAAATTAGGATGCTGCTAGTTTTGGAGACTTCTCCATGCATCTGCTGAACAGGCAGTTATTGTGTGACTCATTCCAGAGTTTTCCCATCACAGATGTGGATGTTCCATGCTACAGAGAAAGGTTTATTCAGACATGACCCCCCTGTTCACTGGCCACCCTGGCAACGGTGACAGAGTGGGAACTGTGCAGCCCAGCAATCTGGGGCCAAAAACCATCCCAGGCACACAGCTAGCAGCCTTCTCAGGCTGTCTAAAATATTCTTTACTTCCAAAGTTGCTTTTCTAGCCATATATATAAGATTTGTGTTTTTCATGACAATGTCCTTACCACACTCATTTATTTAGGGTTTCATCTTCTTCCTGCAGCTGCTCTTTTTGACAGTAATAGTGGAAAATATTATTTAGGGGCTGAAGTAAATAACCTCAGTGCCATCACCCAGGAAGAGGCAGAGTGGACAGTGACCCCTCTGTGGTTATTATATGGTTTTTACAACGAGCTGGATTAAAATTCTTTGTATCATCCTCTTACTCCCCTTTTTTATTTGCACTCTTCTGGTTGTGAGAACCTGCTCAGGTCAGACAGCTGGATCTGAGCCAAGAGGAAAAACAATTTCCCAGCAACTGAGTCATGCATAACCCATGAAAGAATGAACTCACATAGGAACCTCAAAATTTCATCCAATTACTCCATCCTTAAGTTAAATTTGCTGCTGATCAGGACAGAGCTTCTCCTTCCTAACAAAGCAGGAACTCATTATTTCTTGTATTTTCTACCATTTTAGGTCTGGTTATTCTGGAGGTGTTCAAGGCCAGGTTGGATGGAGCTTGGAGAAATCTGGGATAGTGGAAAGTGTTCTCCCCACGGCAGGGGTGGAACTGGATGGTCTTTGAGGTCCCTTCCAACCCAACCTGCTCCATCACTCTGTGATTCTCAGCTAAATATTTCAACTGCGTCCTCCCCAATCCCCGCCACGAGCCCTCAATTTCCTATAATTGTAGTGAATCTTGGAAATTCACTGCAGAAACTCCACTGAACATCCCTGATGGTCACAGGGGGTTTACCCACCTCTCCTCTGCCCACTGCCTGAGGCGCTGCTGGGCACTGGGGGAGTGGAAGGAGAACCTGTCCATGCTGCGGAATTGCTGCTTCTCGGGAGAGAGGCGCCTCCGCAGCTGCTCCAGCTCGTGCTCGTACATCAACCTCTGCCTCTCCAGGGCTGATCTCTTCTCCTCCTCGTGCTGCTGCTCCAGGCTTTGCAGGATTGACTGCATGGGGTCTAGAAAGAATTTGAAAATGGAAGTATTACGGTGAAATCCATGCTGGGGAGCGTCCTGGATGCGTGGTGTGAGCACGGGCGTCGAAAACTCTTGATTTTGTTGAAGCGTGTGTTTAAAAAGTTGCTGGTGAATTCTGAAGCAAAATAAATGTTTACAGGGCAGATGATTTAAGAGAATTAAGAAAAGGAAGAGCCCAAGCTGGGGAAAAAAAAAAAAAAAGTCATCCTGTTTCCCAAATAATGTCATTCTGGGACAGCTCCATAAGACCACAAAAACTCAAAAACACGGTTTCAGAGACAGAAATCACTGCAGTTAATGCCTGAGTGAGACATAACACAAGAAAAATAAACAGCCAAGTGAAAACACTTTGATTTGAGACTGCAGTTCCACCAGCATTCCACTTTTGGCTTTCCCCCTCAGCAAGAACTGCCAAACCAAACAGTCTGCCATGGTTATTTTTCCCTCCTCAAGCACAAAAATGACTGTTATGAGTCATTCACAAAAAAAAACTCTCCAAAAGGAAGTTATGAGGGAAAAAGCCAGTGGTTATTCTCATATTTTGTACACATTCCCAATAATTTTTGTGGCTCCTTACCATTACTACCAAGAGCTTTCATGGTGACTTCCATCTGGGCATATTCATAGCTGAAGTTAATCTCACTGGACACCTCACTGGAATTGTCCCCATCTATATCCAGCTGCTCCACACTGTTACTGCACTTCATGGAGTTGTCCCTCTCCTCATCCTCATGATCTGCCTTCTTTTTCTTCTTTGGCAAATTCAGCCTTTAAATAAGAAGAAAACTTTTAGAGAACTATCAATTGCTCAGCTCTGAAAACACAGAGGTGCTTTCAAGAATTGTTAAAATTCAGTAGAGCCTCCAAAATCAGAAGATTTTGTCCCTTTCAAATTGTATTGATCTCCTGTGGGTGTAATTTTCCTCAGGGCAAAAACAGGAGCAGAAGGTGAACTAATTCATCTATTCTACATTCTCATAATTAAGTACCTGATACTAGTTTAGATAACCATGACATTTTTTAGTCATTCCACATCCAAATAATTTAGGGGCAATAATGAAGTGATATCTCACTTTTCTTATATGGGTTCTCCTTTTAAGCATAAAATAAAGCAATGAAATTTCAGATTATCATTCAAATCCACTGACTTTTGAGACATTTCAGAGAGTTTCAAAGTACAATCTTGACAGTGATCCTGTTTTATACAGGAAGGTCACAGATATGGTTGGGATTACAAGAGACAAGAGAGCACAGTGACCTTGTAATAATATTTAGCATTAAAAACCACTCCAACATCAGTATTGCTTTTATAATCCCCATCTTTCCTCGTACCTTAAGCCAAAACAAAGTGGATGCCAAGTTACAATTGCTTTAATAATTTTTGTTACCTGAAGAAGTGGTTGTTTCCCCACAGGATTCTGTCTCCATGGTGGAGCTGGATGGGACACACGACAGCAGAACCATTTACAAATGTCCTGCAAAAAGATAAAAATCTGAAGTAAATATATTTATATCAAGCTTAATTTTTTTCCCCTCCTAATATTCCTTTCATTACTACAACAAGTAAAGGCAGGAGAAGAGATTTATGGATTGCAAACAGGTAAAATATTCCCAGAAAATTCACTGATATATCCAGTGCTGTCTCACACACGCCTCAAATTCAGCTCCTTTTGACCTCCTAAGCTCATGAAGTTCACTACATTTAGACAGATCTTACTCCAGCTGTGTCTGGGGAGTAAAATTAGAGCTTAAAAATGAGCAGCCTGAAAAAAAGGTCACTAGAAAAAAAAACTACTTGCACACTGCTCTGAAATACAGATACAAAATAGAAATTTTAAGGGAATCTCAGGTTATCACCCAGTCCAATGGGCTCCAAGCAGGATCAGCCACAAATCAGGGTAAATGTGAAAAATTTGAATTTTGCGGTTTCTCACATTAACAAGAAATTACTGGAGATGCTGACTCTGCATGTCATTTTGTGATCAATCTGAATATGCCAGCTGCTGCTCAAGTAGAGCTACTTAATTGAATAAAGCAACAAATGCTTCAGCAGCTCTTTGCATATCAACAGATTCCCTAGAAAATTAATTCAAATTTTGATAGGAGTTACATCTACACAGCTGCAAATCAGTGAGTATCTGCTTGCTGAAAGCACATGCAATTTACTCATCTTCTCTTTGAAAATTTGGGCTACAAATCCCCTCCCTGAGAGAAGTCTCACTGGAATGGAACATGAATTTACAGAGGAACAGGTGACAATTAAAATGTAAAAGCAGCATACAAGAAGCAGGATTTTTCTTCTTACTATGAAGGAGATAGAGAACTTTGTTTTCCAAGTATCTTTTTGCACCATTAATGATAAAATACTGGATAAAATGACAACAATCAAACAGCTGTGGCTGCATTTTATTCTTTCACCTGGTATTTTTTTGAGGTGTCAGCATAACCTGGCCTTCTGGGGTGATGTCTATGATGCAGTGCTCAGGAAGAATTCCCATTCCACACAGCTGGATATCTTGAGAATTGTCTGAGCCTATCAACGTGTGCTCCTGGAGAAAAATTTAAATTCACATGTTAACACTGCATTGCAGAGGTTCACTGGGTCTAATTCACCCATTCTCCTTCTGGGTGTGTTGTATCATCTGGTCCCCAAAATTTCACAGCTGTTCAATAATTCCCTTAGAGGGGAAAAAGAGAAGCATATAAAAGCTTTGTCTTACCACAACAAGCAGGGAAGTTTACAGGCAAAAGTTAAAACATGAAAATGTTGAATTGAAAATGAAGAGAATTTTATGATTTAATGGAGGAATTCAGTGCCTCAGAATGTTGTAGAAGCCAAAGGAATAAAGGATTCCAGGCAGGAATTAAGGGAGGCTCACAGTGGCAGATCCATGGTGATTATGGAAGTTCCACCTACATCAGGAAATTCCTGGATACTCAAGGTATGGGGAGATTTGAAGGATCACCCCACACATAAAATTGCTGAGGTTGGAAAAATCACTTTAAAACCATCCGACCACCCCCCCAAGCATCACCAAGGCCACCACTGCCCCATGTCCCCAAGTGCCACATCCACACAGCTTTTAAATCCCTCCAGGGATGGGGACTCCAACACTGCCAGGGCTGGATCCCCCTTTTGGGATAAAAATCTCTTTTTTAAGGCATCTCCAAGCAATTTTTCAGGAATAACAGATATAACAGTTTAGGCAGGTCAGTTCAGGTTGTTCTTCAGTACTTGAAGGACCTGGAGCACACACACAGCTCAGAGAGAATGTGGGCAAATATTCTGAGGAACAAGAGAGTTAAATCTCAGGATTTTAGGAAAAACAGCTTCAAGTAATTTTATCTTAATAATTTCAAAGCATGGGGATTTTTACACCAAAATTTGCCAGGAGCAAGACAAATCTGAGTTATTAAAAAAAATAATAAAGACTAATTAAAGGAGATAAAATGTACCCCAATTTTTCCCTAGAAAAGGAAAACAGCACAGAACCACCTGAGACTTTTCCTTGTTCCCAGTGACCATTGGGAGAAAGTGGGATCTGTCCCAGTATCTGTCAGTGATTTAGCAGCTGAGTCACACTCTGGACATTTATGTGCAAGTTGTCTGGGAAAGAGTCAACCTCTCCTAAAACCTCAGCTCTTTTCTCCTTTTTAATGTGTTTTTTTTTTTTTAGCAGAAATAACATGGAAAAAGTGTTTTGCGTTGTTTCTATTGAGATACTGCAAAGCCACGATGGCTGATATAAAAGAGGATCACATATTTCCTAAAACTGACTAAACCAAAACCATCTTTCAGCCTAATTGCCGATTTTGTGGCTGTTTTGAGAGTAACTACCCCACTTCAAAGGGAGGAGAATGATTTAATGTGAAGCTCAAAACCACTGACGTTTGCTGTGAAATTTTTAGAACTTGCACTTCAAGATGTGACTTTAAAATGGTTGACCTCCTGAGTCCCCATCTACAATTAGTAAAAACTACAATTAGTAAAAACCACAATAAACTGCCCAAATATTTCAGCACAGGGTCCAAAGGTCACATCATGTGTTTGATGGTTAATATCAGAAACAGGGAGTGCACATCAGAAGTGCTGAGGCAGAACAGAACTTGTTTTTCACTGCTGGCAATTTGCACGAAGAGGATTAAAAATACATTTCATAAACTGAAGACAGCAGCCAGAATTTAGACTACACATGGAAAAGCTCACTACTGATATGCCCAACCTTCATATAGAACAATTTCAGGGTTAAAAATTTGTGAAAGTTTACATAAAAAAACCCCTCATCCCAGAACAGGAGATGACTTCTCAAAAAGAAAGCATCTGAATTTCTTTTTTAAAAACGCCAAAGAAAACCAAAACGAACAAAAACATCAAATCCCCAAACTTTTCCAAGAATTACAGTTGAAATAAAAAGGTTGTACTCATAAAACTCATAATATTTTCAGATTTATAGTTTTATAAAACTCTCCAAGTACACCTCTGCCAAATGAATGAATTAAGAGGTCCACTTCTGACATTAAAGAACTTGCATATACAAAAATAAATTTTTACCTTTAAATAGTACACCAGGAGTTCATTGAGAGCTGGATCTGCATTCAAATTAACCAGGAAACACTTATTATCCCCAACTTTAATTCCAGAGGACTGCAGGGATATGCCAAGGCTTTCCAGCTGTTTCTGACGCTCCTGTAAGAGAGCAGCCATCAAAATTTATGGGAATTGATGCACAACCCTTCGGAAATCCATTCCCATCTTTTGATGCCAGCAGGCAGAAATGATGGATTGATACTTCTAGAACAGGAAACTCTTCCTTCTGCAACAGGTGAGGCACAGAAGCCTCAGTTGTCCCAAGCTCTGAGCAGGGGTGTCTGTGATTCCTCCTGTCCTGGCCCCTCTGCTCTCGGAGCTTTGGTGCCATGCGTTCCCATATTCCCAGTGGGAATTGAAAGCAGCAGGGAGCAGCCTCCTGCAGCACTGCAGAGCTTCTCCATGACCTCACTGGAACAGCAAAATGCTACCACAAAGCCATCTCTAGAGCCCTTTATTCTCCCTTTCGAGCTAAAAAGCAACAAGTTAAGTTAAATCCTTGCCAAGCCAAGCTCCATGTCTATCCTTTGTTCCAGAGCAATCAAAATGACAAAAAACTGGCAACCTGCTATTTAAGTAATGCAAAGAACACTTCCTGCTGAACAAGAATAGCAGCATTTTGGATGGTGTTTTGTTCTTGTCAAAAGACTTCATAGAAATGCCCAACAAAGCATTACTGTGCAGAAATGTACATCTCTCAAAGGGAAGGGTTTGGGTGAGACCAGAGCAGTGAAAGAAGAACATTAAACATTTCTGACTTAGGAACAGAAAGGGATTCTTCTACAGAAAAAATTCACTGGGATAAAAAAGTTGAGGATTGTTCCCAGGATCAGAGAGAAACTGAAGTGAGACTCACCGTCTGCAATAGCAAAAAAAAAAAAAAAAGAAATAAATACGGGAGAGTTCTCACAGGATTACTGGAAGAAATAGAAACAGGAGAGGCTGAAACCAATAAGTAAAAAAAAACATACAAGAGACCTACAGTGCTTTCTTTCCCTGTGCTGCTGAGACTTTTAAAAATATCACATTAGATAATGTAGGAATAATCCTGGAATGTTTATCTTTACCTATCAGTGTGCTTTATATTTAGAAACTGAGAATGTCACAATATTCAGGATCACTCTCTGCTCAGTTTTACCAGGTCTAATCAAGATTAAAATTGCAAAAAAATAGCACAACTTGCTCTTGATTTTTCTGTTCCCTGTCTCCCCACAGGCTTACAAACCCAACATAATGTCCTTGTAAGGAAAAGTCATGTGTGCGTGTGTGTGAGAGAGGGAAAACAAAGAACAGAGGAGAAACTGCAGCGTGATGTCAAAGATCTCTCTTCCGATCATCAGTGCCAGGCTCTGAAGTTCACAAAAATCCTTTTTATCTACAGAGATAAAGCACATCTTGCCCTAAGGACAACTTGGCCCACAATGTGAATCTCATAGGATTAACTGAGACAAAAAGAGCCAGTTCCTGTTAATTTTTTCTCAAGACCTAATGTTAATTAACTTAAACATTGAAAAAAAAAACCAACAGTAAAAGTATGTCAAATGCTCACTGCAAATGTGAAAAATTGCCTGTTCCTGTGGCTGGTGTTAAAGGTTTTAAATTCTTATTGATGCCTCTTTGATGGTCCTTGCTCTCTATTAGGAATCATCCTTTCCTCAAAGATTTACAAATATCTCTCCACCCTGACACACGAAAAAGCAACAAAGACAACGTTGAGAACAGACTACAGCCCCTTTTCCCTATATCCCTGTCCCACTTGGGGGTAGGAAGTAGAAAACCAGGAGTGAAGTTGAGCCTGGGAAAAAAGGAGAAGAGGAGAGAAGGTGTTTTAAGATTTAGTTTTTATTTCTCATTACCCTACTCTGATCTGATTGGTAACAAATTAAACTCATTTTCCCCAGTCAAATCAGTTTTGTCCATGACAGTAATTGGTGAATGATTTCTCCCTGTCCTTATCTTGACCCAGGAGCTTTCTGTGACATCTTCTCTCCCCTGTCCAGGTGAGGAGGGGAGTGACAAGAGTGGCTTCCACTGATTCCAAACAATCCTGAAACAGCCTGTGCTGCACAAATACTCGTCCTTATCTCTCCTCTGGAAAAAACATCCCTTTTTCAAGGCTCATGGAACTCCCAGCTATGAAACACCCTACCAGGCTGGGAATTTAGGGACAGAAAGGTGGAGAGCTAAAGCAGCAACATGCAAACATCAAAGCACATTTAGTCTGGAGAGCTGAGTCCATTACTTCAGTTTTTCAATGTCCTCACACATCCAATGCCTAGAAACTATTGTGTAGGATAAGAGCAGGATTTTTTTACTATTATTATTTTCTATTTTTTTTCCACCCCTATACACAGGGAGGAATTGCAGTGAAAAGCAGGAAGCCCTCATAGTCACAGGCAGCACTTCTTACAATGGATCTTTAAAACCAAAGTCAACACAGTCTATTCTGATTGTGGCATCTACAAGAGGGCTTTGTACCAGAGGCTCCCTTCTCCCTTTATTTATTACACACTATTCATCACCTCCCAACAGTCCTCCCCCTCCAAAGCTCCCTTCTGCAAATATACACATCAGCATTTGTGTGGGAAGAACCAGGAGTGTCATGCAATAACCGTGGTGACTTGCATCATTTCTCCAATGTAATCATCTCCAGTTATGGTGTGAGGCCCTAAATATCAGTTTAGGAGCTATTAAAACACACAGAGATCCTCAAGAATTCTATTTTTTAACATTCTGAATGCCCTTTGCCTGGTGCATTGAGGCACTCAGTCCATAACCTTGCACTGAATGCTCTCAATGCTCCCTCATCACAATTTTTACTGCCTGAAGAATATAAAAACCCCTGTAATCCTCTCACCCGTGGATTATTATTTTTTTTTTAAATAACTTCTCCATTTGCATACAGTGACAATTTATTATTGTCACTGGAGTGGTAATCTGGGAGGCACCCATCTATCACAGGAATTAAGTGAAGCTTTTCAAAAGGGCAGCAAGCTTGACCTACTTACCCATAAATGTGGGGAGAGACTCAGACAACCTCTATGAACTGACAGACAAAGAAAACAAACCTATTTTTCATAAAAACTGGGGGCAGGGAAGGAGGAAAGAAAGCTGCAAACCTGAGCTATCTCTTCAGTTTTTCTCAATTTTTCTTCCCAGGTCACGGTCATCTCCTGAATCAACTTTTCTGATTCCTCCAATCGTTCTTTCAATTCTGGTGATTTCATAGCCTGCAGGAATGAAAGCAAATGAAACAAGAAAAGCTTGTTGTGCTTTGTGTTTTTTTTTTCCCTCTGCAGCCACACAGATGGGGGAATAAAGGCAACATGACTCATTTTTCAAGGCACACTTTGCAGTAAGTAAAAGGGTCTTTAAAACACACATTGCACGTAAAGGCAGAATCCACCAGAAAGTTCTTTTAATTAGTTTCAAATACAGATGTTAACATGGAGTTTATGTGCTTCAACACAAACCAATTACATGATACTGGCAGATTTGCACAAAGATATACACAAACTAATTTTATTTCCACATCCCAAGTGACTCATATCAAAAACAGTTTCATTTTTAAAGATCCTGCTGCTCTGGCTATGTCCCCTCAGCTGTCAAACCCTCAAAATGACACGACACATCTCAGCAAACTGCCACACCACCAAAATATTTTTACTGCTCATTTTTAAATGATGTGTGCAATATTTTTTCTATAGGAACAATGCAGCTCTTCTGGTTATGCACCTCTGCATTTCTACATGCAGTTTACAGAGTGAGTATCAAAGGAAACTTTACAACGTGCTTCTGGACACTAGAATTCCATTTTCTTGCTAATTGGCCACAGCTCTGATTTTGTTAGATGAAATATTCAAAGGCCCATGTTTCAAACAAGGACTACCTTAAAAATAAGAACATATTCCCATGGCCCCCAAAAATTGAAAATCAGCATCCCCCTGTCCCTGAAATGTCCAGGGATGGGGCTTGGAGCAGCCTGGGATAGTGGAAGGTGTCCCATGGCAAGGGGTTGGTCTAGAAGAGCTTTTAAAGGTCCTTTCCAGCTCAAACTATTCCATGGTTTTTAAACTTCCACCTCCTACTAACCTGTTTCAAAAAGCCTGTGGACTTCCTCATGTCATTATTTCATTACTGTTAATGAGGAACATGGGTTTGGCTGGTTGGCATTTAAGCAATGCCAATTAAACAATGGGAGCATCATCCTCCAGCATCAGACATTCCCTCACCACAAACCCAAAACTTCTCAGAGGAATCCAGATCAAAGAGAGGCCTCATTACACTGCAGTTCCTTCAGGAAAAGGAGCAAGTGCCAGGATTGGAAAATCCTGTTTTAAGAAAGGAGTTTCCTCTGCCTCAAGACACAACAGTCTAGGAAATGTCAGCTGATGTGTCCTGTGTGGATTTTTTCTGCTTTAAACACCTAAATGTGGGGTAAAAAGGAGAAGGACTTTGGACAAGAGTCTGGAGGGACAAGGAGGAATGGCTTCCCACTGCCAGAGGGCAGGGATGGATGGGATATTGGGAAGGAATTGTTCCCTGGGAGGGTGGGGAGGCCCTGGAATAGAATTCCCAGAGAAGCTGTGGCTGTCCCTGGATCCCTGGAAGTGTCCAAGGCCAGGCTGGATGGGGCTTGGATCAGCCTGGGATAGTGGAAGGTGTCCCTGCCCATGGCAGGGGTTGGATGGGATGAGCTTTGAGGTCCCTTCCAGCCCAAACCACTCCATGATTCTATGAATTCCACACAGCAAGGGAAGTGAAGCCAAGACAATTTCCCAAACAAAAATTCATAATGCCAGAAAAACCATGATCAGTGCAAAAGAGTTGACACTTCCAAGGCATAATGACAAAGCCCAGATACTCTCAAGGTTTAATTTGTCCATTTCTTTGGATAATTAGTGAACATTTTCACATATTTCAGTTGTAAAATGACCTGAGTAATTCTCCTCATTCCCTACAATGCCCAAATAAATCCTAAAGAAATGGGCTCAGCCTGATCCCAACCCACAGGATGCTTCTCTGCTGGAAGCAGGTGAATTCCCAGGAGGGACAAGCTGGTGGCCTTGGCACAGATAAATTAAAACACGATGTGAATTCCAATTAAAAAAAAAAAGACCAAAATGCATGGATTATAAAAGGAAAGGGGAAAAGAGGATAATTCCATACTCTGTGAGGGGAAAGTCATCTGTCATGTTCTGTTCTGGCTCTTTGGGAAAAAAAAGGACACTGACACCAAAAGGTAAAAAAAACCCAAACCCACAACTTGACAACTTCTATATCTGGAAATGAGCTTTGAAAATGTAACCTGTCATAATGAGTCAGTGCTTTTGTTCACTTCAGGAAGTTATTTATGCACATTTCTGTAAGAACAATTAGATGGGCAACAAATGTAATGAACTGAAAAGAGCACAAGGCTGTGAGTGTGGGGTTTGACCTTTACTGTGCAGCCTCTTAACAGCAAATTGCTCTGGTTTTTCACTGCTCTTTGTCAATGCCACTGGGATGACAACTAGGGTGGGATTTTAATACTTGGGAAAGGAAATATTTATTATTTCATCCTTAGGAAACATTACTTCATTACTTTGGACAGCTGCCATTATTTTGGGAGTAATGCTAAAAAATAAAACAAACGGGGATTACTTGCAACTCTCACAGTACTGTTAAGTCTGTGCTTGATATTTTAGAGGAGTTTTTAGATATTTAATATTAAAATATTTAACTTGAGATACCTTAAAGAAACTAATAATACACCCAGTGGATGCTTAGGATATTAAGCAGCTCAAATGAGGAGAGTCCAAAATCCACAAGTCATTTGCAGTATCACAGCCAGCATTCCCTGCATACCTCGTGATGCAAATGCTGTAATCATAATTTTTCTGAAGTGCAAACCACAGGGATTACATCACCATTGCTTTGTCCCTTTGGGAACAGAACTCTGAATTACAGTAATTCTTGGCCTTCATGTAACATTTAAACCAGGTTTTTCTTGAAATTTCACTGTGGAAAGAAATCACAGAATAGGCTGGGAAAGACCTTGGGTCCAACCTGTGACCCAACACCACCTTAACTAATCCATGGGACTGAGTGCCACATCCAGTCTTCTTTTAAACATGTCCAGAGATGGTGACTCCACCACCTCCTTGGGCAGCCTGTTCCAATGTTTAATCACTCCTGTGAAGAATTTTTTCCTAATATCCAGCCTAAATTTCCCCTGGGGCAGCTTAAGGCTGTGTCCTCTCATGCTGCCACTGGTTGTCTGGGAGAAGAGACTGACCCCACCTGGCTACAACTTCCCTTGTAGAAGAGAGGGAGTTTAGAGAGAGATTGCCTAGTGCCTGTAAGAGATTCCACAGCTGGAAACAAGCAAGAAAACTTTATTTAACTGAAGTCACATCTCACAGGATGTGGTCACGATGAATTCTTATAATGTATTGGTAGAGCTCTGCCTAGAAATCACCCAGCCTTAACTGGGACTATCCATGTCTCCATGTCCTCTGCATCACAGAGTAAAACCAAAAATGCTCAACAAGGTGTTCAATGTGTCAATGAATCACAGAATTCACAGAATCACTGGGTTGGAAGAGACTTTCAAGATCATAGAGTCCAACCCATGCCCTAATACCTCAACCATGGCACCGAGTGTCACATTCAGTCTTTTTTTAAACACATCCAGCAGGGATGCTGACTCCATCACCTCCCTGAGCAAACCATTCCATTCCAATCCAACGGAATGTCAAGATACGGGGGGAAAAAAAAAACGATATAAAAGAAGATGAAAAACATCCCCCCACCAACGTTCCCGCACGGAATTCCTTTCGGAGAGCCGCGAAGGGTTCAAGGGGGAATTTCCAAAGCTCCCATTTTGGTTACCTCAGCCTTGGTGAGCTGCTCCCTCAGCTTCTCCACCTCCTCCCGGAGCTCGCGGATGATTCGGGCGTTGGGGTCCTCGTTGACCACGGCGTGGTTGACGATGTTCTTGGCTCTGTCCGCGTAGCGCAGCGTCGACAGCGTCTCGTCGTAGTTGTCGGCAGCAGGGCTCACCGTGGCCACCATGGCTGTCTTGCTGTTGCCACCCAAGCTGTCCTGGAAAGTTGATGTTTAAAAAAAAAATCATCATTTTTTGTTTTGGTTTGATGGGTTTAAGATGTGTATGTTAAGAAAAAGCCGTGATTTGGAGTGTTCGGTTTTGAAAGCTCGTTCAGGGAACGTCATTCTTGGCTTTGGACATTTTTGGACAGGAATGAAAAAAAGGCTCTGTTTTGGGGCTTTACAGGGTCTGGTAAAGGCTTCAAAGGTTTCTTTCTGTGTTTTCTGCTTTACAAACCAGAAATGTAAACACTTCAGCACTGAACTTCTCAGATGCTACTGAGGGAGCTCAGGCAAAACCACGATGAATTCAGATGATCTCATTCTAAAGACCAGAGATGTCTTCAAGAAATAAATTACTGAAATATCTCTTCATAAACAATACAACTGATTTTATTCCTATAAACATTCAGAATGGGACCCTTCCTTTCCTCCCACTGGCACAGCTCACAAATCTAAACTGAGTTACATCAGGAATTACCCTCCTGGAATTGGGCTGTGAGAGAAGAAGGGCGTGAAACAAGGAAACAAGGAAGGAAGGAAACAAGAAATTAAGGAAACAAGGAAGGAAACAAGGATGGAAACAAGGAAGGAAGGAAACAAGAAATGAAGGAAACAAGGAAGGAAACAAGGATGGATTCCAGGAAGGAAGGAAGGATTCTAGGAAGGATGGATTCCAGGAAGGATGGATTCCAGGAAGGAATGAATCCTTCCTTCGTGGAATCCATCTTTTTATTGACCATAAGATTATGGCTCACAATTTTGGCCAAATACAGATATATAAAGATAAAATACTCTGGTTTAAATGGTGTAGCAGATTTTTTTTTCTGTTTGGCACTTTGGTTTCTTTGGTCTGTTTGGAATTTTGGGGTGGGTTTTGTTTGTTTGTTTTTTACCCAGTATCTCTTTCTGAGACAAACCACACTCCTAATTTTCATCTTCAATAACCCACGAAATGTAGGTCAGGCATTGCCATTAGAACAATCTGACTGCATTAGCTGCTTGTCAAACCATTTCAGTTCCAAAGCACACGTGGAGCTTTCCCCAGCAATCATTAAAATGCCCCTTTAATATTTCCCCAAGACTCTTCTTTTTGGTTGAATGATGCCTAAACCAGTTTGACAGCAGTCAGGCTGCTGGCAGCACTTGGCTGTCTCTGGTCATGCAAAAGGGCATGGAGCTCATATGAAACATAAATCTCTCTGTATTTACAGTGTACAACACAATCAGCACATGCAGGTCAGTGTGTTTATACAGAATTCAGTGCCAAAGAACAGATTTCTGCCTGATCTCACCGTGACTTTTCTCATCCGAGGATTAGCCAATGTTTACTCCAAATTAATCCATGGCTTGGGAGGGTTCCCTCTGTACCACAGAAATGTTTTTTAACTTAAAACTTTAAGACTAACAGGAGCACTAATGAATCATTCCATGGGATTTCCTGGAATTAGGAATGACACCCTGCAACTTCAATCCCTGTTCTGCATCAAAAGCTAAAATTTGGCAGGGAGCTGGCCAGGTACTCCCCTCCCAAATCCAAACTTAAAGGTTTGCACTTTGGGAATGTCTTTCACTGCACTAATCAGCTCCAAAATAGGATGAATTCATTATTTGAATTACAGCTCTGCTGTAAAGGCAGCTGAGAACACTGTAACAGTGATACACCAGAACCCACAATACACCCACTATAAACTGGGCAAAGTCCCTCTGGTAGCAATTCAAGCCCAATGCCAGACTGTCTCATAAAGTTTCATGTATAAAACCCATGTGCTGATTTCACTGGTTTCTTTAATGATAAGCAAGAAAGGTGAAAAAATAGGATATCAGCCTCTAATTAATGAAGAGAGTCTGTAAACAAGTCTGACAAGGCTGGGCTTGCATGTGTTAGAATGGAAATAAATCAGTTATTTCTAAGAATTAACTAGCTTTTTCTCCTCTAGCAGCAAGATTACTGTGAAAACAACTCCAAATGTAGAGCTCAGAAATGATGTTTTTAATAGCAGCCATCAGGCTTCTGATTAACGTGGGAAAACAAGAAATGTTTGTGCCAAAATAATTTGATTAAAACAAGAAGTTACAGAACTGACAAAACTCTTTTTCTCCCTGCACATAAGCTGATGCCACTGCCCAAGCAATGATATTTTTCACCTGACACTTCAGTCTAAAATCCTCAACAAAATTAAGCAAAAAGTGTCAGATCTTGAGGTCTCCTGAACTGATTTAGATGTGGGGAGAGACACTGTATGACAGATATTCCTGCACTTAGAACACATTTAATCTGCTTTGGTATCATAATTAAAAGTTGAAAACCAGGGAGAAAGGACAGCCCACCATCTCATGGCTTCTCTTTAAATGAATAAATCCCTCCTTTGATCTCTAATTTAAAAAAAAAAAAAAAAAAGTTTAAATTTTCCCCCTTTCAAAACAAAGCTTCAATGAGAACTTGTTTGTTAAAAAAACCCCAAAAGCCCCCAAAACCCTTTTGTTGCCATTAACGTGGCTGATGTTGGACACAAAGAGGGTTTGCCTGAAAGGAGGCAGAACAAAAGTGAAGTCCCAGGCACGGTGGCCACAATGCCTCAGACAGGTGCTGAACAGGAATTGCAGTCTGCTCCCTGCATTTGTTTAGAAATGGAGCAGCAGAACTAATTGCAGCCAGGCTGGAAATTCATGAGGGAGGTTTCCACCCTGCTGCAGCCACATCAGGAACCTTGAGAGCACTGGGGAGAAGTGAAGCTGAGCAGTGGCTTTGTTGCCATCATTGCAGAGAGCCAAAAGAAAAAAAAATCACTTGTTTCTTATGAATGAGAGCAAAAACTGAGTGTAAATATAGAGAGGTAAAAATGTATTTAAACACTGAAAAAGCCTCAGTGCAAGAACATTGTGCCATGAGGATTTGTTTCACTCAGACACTGTTTGTGTTGTGCCATTTAGATTTTTACTTGGCTATTTGATGTCCATACCTGTTAGGGATAAATCATTTCACAAGTCATGCTAAAAGGTTCATTAAAAGGGAGCACTGAGAAAAAATGAACGTTTGTGTGTCAAGAGAGCTTGGATTTTGTTTTACTTAAGCACTGAAATCAACTTTGTTTTCAAATTTCTGCAAGAAAAAATGTGTTAGTTTTTTTTTAATCTCCACACTTTTGTACAACCTACAAGTCACTTTGTCTTCTTCTTTCCACATGTGCAGTTAAATCCCAGGGATGTGAAATTTAAACAACACCTAAAAACATTGCTAAGAAAGGGTAGGGAAGCCAAGGCAAGAAAATGTAGCCAGAGCACCTACAAAAAAGTAAGAGGACAAAGAAAGGCTGGTGATGCTACAAATCAGTTTCTTTTTTAGATCATTTCTTTCTAATAAGCATCTCAGTTGCTCCTGGATAACAACTAAACAGAGCACAAGGGAAAAAAAATGAATTTGACATATATTAATCTCATATTTAACAATTCAGAAAATTATTTAACTGCTCATTTCACATGAACACCATCTCTGAAGTCTCCTGACCTGTTTCTCAGACTGTAAACCAGGAAAATGCTCTGCAATTATACTCTCCTGACCAAAGTAGAATATCTTAACAATTAAATTAGACAATTAGGAAAAGGTAATAGTCTTTATCAACATCTTCAGAGCTAATCATGGCAGTATGCAAAATCAGCTGCATGCAGACATAACCCAAATTAAATTAGCCCCAAGGTTGTGTGTGAAGCTGTACTTACACTGACCCATAAAATATACACTGCTTTTAATTTTATTTTTAAATCCTTAGGCCACTGCAGGTCAGCAGAAGACAGGGAACATATTTAGTCTGCAGAGATACTAATGGCTTACATCCAGCTCATTTTCCAAAGACAATTATGCTTAACATAAAACCCAGAAAATGAGACAAAAAGTACAGAATTTTGATTTAATTCAATGAGACTCTTCTCCCCCTTTCTTCTCTTTTATTTCACTTAAAAAAAAAAAAGAAGAAGAATAAAAAAAAACCTTACTTACTTTAAGTAACCAAGTGAGCACAGAATCACGATATGGAACAAATTTGTTCTTGTTCTTGCCAGCAGCCTGATCTGCCAGGGCAGAAATAACCAGCCCCAGAGTTGTGAGGGATCTGCCCAGAGAACACAAGCAGTTATTAACAAGGGTAAATATTCATAAGTCAAATGCATATTTAGACAGTGACTTTCTCTCTACCAAAAATATGCTCTGAGGAAAAAAATTCATAGTTTAATTTTGATCATTCTTTCTTCACAAAAGCCCCGCTCGTATTTTTTTCAGTATGTTTTCAGTCTTAATAATCAGGTTTTCACAATGAAATTCGTGGCAGGTGCAGGAACAGAAATGGTTTTGAAAAAGATGGAGATCTTTTTCCCATATCTGAGAGTACTGCATGCCAGAAGGAGAAATAGAGAGAAGGAAAGGAGAAAGATTGACTACAGGAGCTTTGTAGAGAGAAGGAAAGGAGAAAACTGCCTACAAGAGCTTCATCCTATTTTACAATTAGGTTCTATTTAGCAGATAATGGTGATGAAAAAATGAAAAGAAATAAATCTCAAAGTCTTACTTGTTAATGTTGCTTCCTTCTTTCAGCCTGTCTCCTGCAGCACCAGTTTTAGTTGCCCTTTCACTGCCTGCCAAGTCCACCAGGCTGAGCTTGCCCACCTTCTCACCTGATGTCTGGGGAAGGAATCAGACAACAGCCCCTGTTAGGTCACTTCAATCAAGTTACATTGTTTGATATATTTTACAAAAGGAATCAAATTTCATTTTTTGGTTTTTCAACTCTTGTTCCAACCCCTTTGAGAATTGCTGGATTTGAACAGTGTCCTGGGCTAAGTCACCACCTGCAGCTTCAGAAATAACAGTGAAGTCAGGGATGATGTGAAGTCACTCTGATATCTTCAGATATCTCAGAATAATCAAGTGCTGAACCATGAAAAATTCAGAGTTTTGCCAAAGGAGTCACAAGCAGAGACATGAGGTTCACAATCTCATCTTGAAAACAGTCTCCTAAAATCCTTGGATTTTGTACCAGGGTTTCTTCTGTTTTTCAGGAATGAACCTGACAAGTAGCATGTTATAATTTGCATAAATAATCACAATTGCAAAGTCTCCTTGATCCTTATCAGCCTCCTGGAACACAATCCCAGCTATGTGAGTATTTAAAACTGTAACATATATTTTGTTACAAATCCTTTCATCTCCTTTGACCCAAAATGACATTCTGCAACACTCCATGAATTCCCTAAATCAATTTGAAATTGAAGTCTGTGAGAACAGCTTGCTCACATCCTGTTCTTCTGCAGCATCTGCACCTGCAGCACCTCGGGATCCCAATGCAAAATGCTGCATTCCCATCAATGAATGGGATAATTAGAATCAATAAAGCTTTCAAAAATGTCACCCTAAAATTATCAAAATATGATGTGACCATGGAACGTTCCATTTCCAGGACTGAAAGGACCAGCAGATGGGCAAAAAGGGGAAATCTGCTGCAGAAATTCACACAGGGGTCACTGGAGGGTGCAGGGAAGATCACAACCACAAAAACCATGCAGAAGAGCCACAGCAAAACTGGAATGACAAATTATGGAAAAATCAAAAAGTTTCAGCACAGTGTGATGCTGATTTGAAGTGCAAAGGGACAAAAAAAAATCCAAACAGAGAACGAGGAAAATTGTGTGGATAAGAAGATTGGTGAAAACTGAGAAATTAGGAGGAAAAAAAGCCCAAATTCTTATTATGCTTTCCAATATATTCAATATTTAGGTTCAGATTTGTTCTGTGGACACTCAACATTTCTCCAGGGCTTTGAAAATATTAAAGAATTGTCCAAGCATAGAATCTATCAATGAAGTTTAAAGATACTTCTTTCAGTTCATTCCAGTTTATCACCATTTTCTGTGAGGGACTAAATAATATTGACATAATGTATTTCACACACCCCTCCAAGGCATATTTATATATAAGGAAACATAAATTAAGTATTTGCAGCTTTAAATGCTTTAACAATAGTTAATACATACACATAAAAGCATTAATGGCATACAATGCGAAATATTTAAATTAAGGGGTTTTTTTTTCAATTTAGAAAATTCATAATTTATGCAAATTTGCATTAATTTAGAAAGCTGGTAATTTTTACAAATTTGTATTAAATAACCACGGGAAGGAGATCACCAGAGCTACACTCAGGCGTATTTCTATTTTTCACCTATTTTATCTTTAGCCTTTACTACAAACTGCTGCTTCCAAAGAAGTGTTTCTTTTCCTTTTCAAATCCATTAAAGCAAGAGACACATCCTGGCCTGACATTTGGACCTTACAAAGTGGATTTTCTTACCCCTGACTGCACATCATAGAGGGTGTGGGTGAGGATGATCTTGAAGACAGCGTGGGACCGACTGCTCTCCTCGTTCATGTTGGTGGCAGCCACTGTCCGAGATTTGTTGCCCTCAGACATCAAGGACTCGATGTCCTAAATACAAATTTTCACAGCCATGAGAATATCTGCATTAAAATCCTTCCCAATTAACTCCAAAAATCATCTCATCTTGACCAAATATAGCATTTTCTCACTAAGCCTCCCATTTGTTTATTCAGAAAAATGTGAGGAAAAAAATCAAAGTGATTTCCCCCCCCTCCATTTAAAGCCTAGAAACTCCCCAGTGTCATAACTTCACCCACTCTTCAACATAGATATCAAATTATCAACAAAAATAATGCACCTGGCTGCACACAGCAACACTCAAAAGCAGAGAAAGAAGTGAGGATACAGCAACTTGGTTTTGAACCCTGTCACATTTTAGGCTCAGTTGTCATGGTCTGAGAATCTGGAATACTTACAGAAGGTTTAGAAAACAGAACCACACTGAACAGGTCATTATATTCCTCCAAATTTTAAGAGCTTGATCTGTTGTGATGCTTGAGAAAGGTGCAGCCCCCGTGCTTTGGGGTTTCACAGCAATTGTGTAAAATAATTCTAATTTTAAAATAGTTCTTATCAGGGTCTTGGGCTCAACTTCTATTTCTGCATCTCTAGCTGGGTGATGCTAAAACAACTCAAATAAACAGTCAGACAAAGGACCACCACAGACCACTGACTCCAAATTTTGGATTACACAAAGCTGCTGGGCAACATGGAAAGGCAAAGCATGAAATGTGTCCTGTCTTAGCAGAAACCACCAAGGAGAGGTGGATGAACACCTGGAGGAACTGCAACAGTGGGACTGCACTGTTTTCATGTTTTGGTTAAACTGACAAATTCCATCCCATATTTATCCATTTTCCCCACAGTAAATTAATGCTCCTTAAAAAAACCAGGGCATTTTGTGAATGCACATATGAACACTGACTATCCTGCAAGCCACTTTCATGTGATGCTCTCAAGAATTTGCTTGGTAAACAACCATCAGTTCATAATTCCAGTTACTGGGAAGGGAAATCACTGAGCAGAGCATGACAGGCAAAAAGTGACACAGTGTGGCACAGAGAGCCTGTCCCTGCTCAATCCTGGGCCTGTCATTAATCACAGAACACTTTCTCATGACAGTGTGCACTCATCTTGAGGTTGAGAGGAAATCTGCTCCATTCAACAGCTGAATTACTTCCAGAATTATTGTGTGGATAAGAAGATTGGTGGAAACTGAGAAATTAGGAGGGAAAAAAAAAGCCCAAATTCAGTATATTCAATACTGAGGCTCAGATTTGGTCTGTGGACACTCAACATTTCTCCAGGGCTTTGAAAATATTAAAGAATTGTAGCACAAGACGAAGGGAGTTTCTGCAGTCAGCCTTGCTCTCCCCAGGGATCACAACACAACATTCTGCAGCTCTCTTGCTCTAAGATTACTGATAAAAGAGCATTTTAGTGATTCTGTCCAGCTTAAGGGACAGCACCTGGTGTTTAGGATGTCAAGATAAACCTTTCATAAAGTTGATCCTTACCTTGTAGCTAGCAACAGCTAGTTTGGATAGGCCATCTACGTAAGGGCCATAAACACTGTGTTCTCTAACCTTTAATGACTGACGGCTTCTGGTTGGGGGGGAAAAAAAAAAGGGATTTATAAGCACATGACTGACTTAAGACAACATTTACACAAAGTTCATTTTCTCACTGACACATCTCAAACAGGATGGCCTCATAAATACCCACTGAAGCACAGAGCAAGGGCCAGACTGCAAACACAAAAAAAGCTTTATAACACGTAAAAAGCTGACACACACAGTGCTGTCACTTCACAAAAGGTAAATTTACTCCAAGCTTTTAGTCTTGCAACTTTATTTTGATTTAGAATGAGGAGATGCTAAGATCAGGAAGCAGCAAAAGCCATCCTAGGGAAATGTTTTAGATGGGATCCATTAAGGCAAACTGGTTATGGAAAGAAGAGTGTAGGACAAATACTACAGTGCCATTCACACACAAATTCCATACCCTTTGGGGTCAAGGAGATCTCTGACTTTCTCATTGTAAATCTCCATGTAGGACACTTCCACTTTGAAACTCTGCTCTTCATTTTCTTCTTTCTGTGCTCTTTCAAAGAGCCCACTGCAAAGTCTAGGGATTAATCCAGGCTGATCAGCAGTTCCCATCATGGTGTAGGATTTTCCAGACCCTGTGTGAGGGGAAGTGTTATTAGAGAACATGGAACAAAATTCCTGCTGTGCAGAATATTGATAGGAAATAAAAGAGTTTAATGCATTTCAGTGAAAGATATTTGTTCCTTTTTCTGCCTTAAAGTATCCCAAACACCACTGAGCTAAAGACTATTTTAATTAAAAGGAAAACAAGAAATTTGCTTCAGAGTGCTGGAGAACTTTTAGGTAGATACAACCTTACAGTAGATGACAAGCCACTAACACCCACAACGAGAAAACTCTTCATATTACTCTTTAAACATTACATGAAAATGACAATTCAAGATTATTTTAACCACAGAAGCAGAAAATCTGAGCAATGCTCTGAGCTCAAGGACGATCATGGTCATGCCAAAGATTATAAATGAAGTGTGAGAAATAAGGGTAGCCAGCAGCAACAAAACCTTCCTTCTCATCCTGCCCACCTCGTATCTGATGTTACAAAAGAGGAAAACATTTCTTATCTACATTAGAAGGTTATTTTCTCCTCAAACAATGTCACAAGAGCCGTGGAAAGAACACAACACCTTTGGAAGGAACGCTCCTCCCTTCCCCTGGGACTCACCAGTTTGCCCATAGGCAAAGATACAAGCATTGTAGCCTTCAAAGGCATTCTGCAGAATATTCTCTCCAAGGCACTTGAAAACAACATCTTGACCTAGAAAATAAAACACACAAGCCAACATTGTAACACAGCAAGAGCTTTTTGTCCCTCGATTTGGATTCTTTGATAATTAGGTAAGAGCTGACAGGGTTTTCCTGCTGTTGCTGCCTAAATCATATCCAGGGTTTCTCCCTGGAAAAGGAGCAGAGGATGTGCTCCAGGTTTATGCTGCTGTAAAAATCAGGGGCTGGGATAATCATGGATATACCTGGATGTGCTTAAAGTAACATCCTATCAAGGTTCATACTCAGAGGTTTTATCAGCAGAGAATCTAAACTAAGATCAACTGCAGAATTTAATCTGCTGGGGAATGACACCTCCTCAAAACACACATTTTAATGACAGTCAGTTGATTTTAATCCAAGGGAATCAGCAGAGCACTGGAAAATTTTACTGGGTAAGATATTGGATAATACCAAGAGGAGATTTTTGCAGAGAAGGAATCACAAGTATGTGGAAGATATGGACATTTACAGGATATTTTGCATTAGCAAAAAGTAAAGTGTATTCCTTCTTTTGTAATTGAACTTTGAGCTTTTTGGATCATTTTCCAAGCAGAGGAAGGAAGGCTTAAAATACCTGGGTAGTAACTACTTGAACAAAAACTATGTTCAGAATTAATTTTACAACCAGAAAAAAACCTCAAGTCTGAACAAGGCATGACAGAATTTTATGGACTGAAAAGTCCTCTCAAATAATGTTCCTTTAAACTCTTCCTTTCTCTCCCTGAAGTTCCTATCTTTAGAGCCAAATCCATGCTAAGTTCCCCATCAAAAGCACCAAGAGCTGTGCCAGGCTCAGCTGGGGTAACACTTCCACAGTAAAACAGACCAAAATATCAATTATATAGGCACCACTGTTAAATTGAGAAACAAAGTATGTAATATTCCTATGTATGGCTGAAAGTGTCATATTTTTCTCAGTGCTTTGATAGGTTATTATTCATTAGTTATTTGTTAAAGAAATTAAAATTAAGCAGTGTATGTGTCATTGATTTTTCTTATGATTTTTATTTTAAAAATGTTAACAAGTTCAACTGATCCCAAATTTTAAAGGATAACAACTATGAAAGGAATAAATTATAGGAATGACAAGTCCAAATATATTTCATATTTATACTGTAACTATATGCCAAAATGCATTATAATAATACATAGAAAACTTTTTATTGAATACATTACACATTCTCACTAAAGCATCTGAATTCACATACACTTAAATGAAAGCAGGCTTTTATTAATATTCCTTTTTCAGTTTTTACCATGATGCCAAACTCCCATCAGCACTGAAAAACATGAAATTACATAAAACAATGCTGCTCAAAAGAAATAAACGGATTTGATGCATTTAAAATGACAAGAGTTGGAGCAGTATTTTAAATAAAGCTGTAAATAGGAGTTGTGCTGGGTTTTCTCCACTCTGCACTGCAAAGGGGTGGCAGTGCCCATTGCCACTGTCACCTTTAGAGAAAAGAAACTGCAATGATTGAGGATTTCCCTTTTCCTTTTGGCAGCAGCCAGTCATAGAAGGGACAGCACTTTGTGCCATATGGCCTGTGCCCTGCAGCAAGGTCTGCATTTCAATCAGATCATTCCCACTTGGAGACAACCAAGCCACACTAAATATTATTACCTGCATATTTTTCTTTGACAGATTCATCCATAGACCAAAAGCAGTGATCATATGCAAACACCTGCAGGGAAATAACCAGGACACCTTAGGAGAACAGCTGCAAAATCCAACACCTTATTCACATTCTGACATTGTGAACTCAACACACATTCCCACTGAATTCCTTATTTTCTAGGAGTTTGAAGCCTAAACAAACACTTCATTTTCCTGCATTCTTTTATTTGTTCCTTGTTTCTATCTGTTCCTTTCTGTGCCAACCCAGTGGATGTCAAGGAGCTCTCCCATTTCTCCCTCCAAACCCATCCTTGCAATTCATTTCTCACCAGAGTTTCTCTTTTGCAAACTGACAGATGTCCTCTAGCTCTTTCTGCCTCCCATCTCCCCCTGCCTCTTGTCTGCATAAATTAAAAACAAGCCTTAGGGTAGGAAGCTCTTTCCATACAAGAGGAATATGTATTTATTTACATTCCATGACAAACCAAGGCAGCCATCAAAGTCTAATATTTGCAATGAATAATAGGAAGCAAATCAGTTTTATCATGAAAATATCAGCACTAGAATACTTTTAATAGAAAACTTCCAATTTTGCCATAAATCCATCAAAAGATCCACAGGCACCTTTCGTCCTGAAAGGTGACCTGAAATAATACAATGTATATTTTGGGACAGATGTTTGCAAAAACACCTCCCCTGGGTATCTGCATGGAAAAATATTAATTAGGGTAATGTCTGACCTACATTCACACAGGCAAAATTTATTCTGTAGGATGTAGGGAAAAGGAAGTGCAAATGGGGGGGGCTCTCTGGCTGTGGATTTCCCCTCCAAGCTTAATGGAAGCTGCTCTTTCCCCTTTGCATGTCCTGCATTGTTACATTGCTGACTACCAACATTTTGAAAACACTTAACATAGCAAAATCCTTGAAATTTAAATAACTTATCTTCAAAAATACTTTGTTTCCCCCCCTGTACTACAGTGATGTACCAGCATCAAGAGATAAAGCAGTTATTTTATATCCTCTGAGGAAACAACAAGTTGTGTATTAAAAATTAAGGTGCTTTTTTTTTTTCTTTCCTTTTGAATTCATTTTACAGCTAAACATATTATTATGTTTAGCTTTCAGAAGATTTATTAAAACACCACAGGCTGTAGGAGCACATCCATGGAGCTGAACCCTGATATGCCAAGGCAGAGTCTTCAGAACAAGCACAAAGTCACGGGACCATTAAAAAACAAAATGAGTTTGCTTTAACACAAATACCAGAAAATGCTTTTAAAAAGCCCACAAAGAACAAATATCCTCCATTGAGAGCCTGCAGTGCTGAGTGTGGATGTTCTCATTTGTTCCTCTGACTCATTTCTTGGCACAGGCTGCACAGAGCATTTTTTGCAGCAAGGAGATGCTTCGAGTTTCTTACTCAGCAGCTGATGAGAGACAGAGCTCTGCAAAATGCTTTTAATATCTGGATAACCCAAGGGTGAGCAAGTGATTGGACAACTCTCACACATTGATAAAAAACCCTTACCTTTGGGTGAGTCCTGCTGTTCCCCAATGCATCGGGAGTGGAAAGGATTTGGTACAAAGTCAGGGGAAGAAAAGACAAAAGAAAAACAAGGACTGTTAGTTGTAGTGATTTTAGCTTAATTGTGCTAGCATTAATCATTGGAACGCTGTATTTATAAAGTTCATTTCTCTCCTCAGATCTCTCCTTGCTTACAGATGCCAAGTTGTTTTATAAACCCTTCTAGGGGCAAGATTTGAGATATTGCTTAGAGCCGATTTAAAATTCAAAGCCACTGATTTTCCTCATGCTGCATCTCTTCCTCATTCTCTCACAGGTTTATTTTTCTTGTGACACCTCTCCCTCTCTCTGGGTGTCACTGCCTTTTAAAAACAAAGTACCCAAGCAACATAAAAATTTCCAAAACCACTTGAACAGGAACTTCAGGAGTGTTATTCAAGAGGAAATTTCAGAGTCCAGCCCCTGGGCTTGCCCAACCCAGCTCTCTCTGGTTGCTGGGACAGCAGAGCAAACATTTGCTTCCCCCAAAAGAATGAGCAGAGAACAGCAATTCCTCTACTCTGTTATGTGCAGAATTTAAAAGTTTGGAGGTTTTTGTTTGTTTGTTTGTTTTTAAGCAAGTACAAAATTACTGAAGTGACCTTTAAAATACCAGCAATACCCAGTCAATGACTGCAGGTTATGCAGCCTCCCCACATCAGAGGCTGGAGAAAAGCAGCAAACACACAACAAGCCACTGATATTCCCCTTGTCCTGGACCTTCCAAGCAACATCAGGGAACTCCTGACATCAGCAATTAGTGAAGTCTTGTGACAAGCAACACTGATTTCTTTTGAACAGAGCAGCAGAAAGACATGGGAGCCATACAGGATTACCCTCAGAGCTCCTGCTGCTCACTTGAGAAGCAAGTTTAAAAATAGGATTTTCCGAGCACTGTCTCTCAAAAACAATTATTTTTTAGGCAAATCCATCACCTCTCTTTACTCTGCCTGGATCTCTGCTGTGTCTGTTTGACAGGACAGGAACGACAGGCACTTGGGAGAGCAGGATGATTATTTAAGTCAAGGTCACCCTGTGTCACAGGGTCATCCAAGTCAGCAATGACAACATGACCCCTTTTCCTCTGCCATCTGGCTTAGCTGAAATAAAAGCTCTCCCAAGGTCCTTGGCAGCCAGCTTGGAGTGGACTCTTGGCTGTTGTTCCTGGGTGGATTTTATCGAGGGAATCTCCTTTGCTGGGGCTTTGAGCCAGACACAGGAGACTCCAGAGAGCCCCTCTGGATCCCTCTCAGAAAGACACAGGAGCATTTTCATGGCTGTCTGTGCTCTGAAATGCTCATGGAGCACTTTCCTGCAGGACTTACTGCTTTTAGGGAAGCTCTGCTTACAGGGCAGATTAATTACTGCTCCTATAAGAACATTCTCCTTTGTAAAATAAAGGGAACAGCAAGCCTGGATTCAGAGTCTGAGCTTAGCACACAGAGATGTGACACTGCCCTGCTCACATTCCCCAGCCCAATTCCAAGGCAGGATTAAATTGCAACAACCCAGCTGATCTGCCCAGCCCTCAATATAGGGCATATTATTGAGTATTTGGGTTAAAGCAGCCATAAGGACATAATCTGAGAAGTTCTGTCACAGATACAATTTTAAAATGATGGATTACACAGGGCTATGTATCATCAAGCTTAACTTAAGACCTTTAGTCTGAACTAAGAATCTCATTTTCTGAAGGGCTGCACAAACACACAAACCCAGCTCTTGGGTCTGATTTAATCCAAACACGAGGGAACAGAAGCCTCACAAAACCCAGCATGCAGCATTTGGGATACAGCACAACTACACAAGAGCTCCAGCTTGTTTGATGTACTTTTAACCATGGAGAGAATAAATGGGACAAATGTTTCCCCAAGGAAAGCATTAAGGGTGCAGCCTGCATCACACAGCATTGTGCTGTGCACATATGAGCCCATTAATGCTGCAGCTGCATGCTGAGCCCAGAAAGCCATGAAAAGACTTTTAGCCTGATTCAAAAATCCCTTGGGAAATGAATAGATGGGGAAACAGAGCACCCACAGCAGCTTGGTTGGCTGCAAGGACACACCAGGAGTTCACACCCAAGAGTTCCCATCCATCCCAGAGGGAGGAAAAGGTAAATACCAAGAACAGCATCACCCACACAGCAGGGAAGGATCTCCAAAAACAAAACACACATGACAGGAACACGTGCAAAGAACAGGGAGGTGACTTTCCCCCTTTACTCTGCTCTTGTCACATCCCACCTGGAATGCTGCACACAGTTCTGGTGTCCCCAACATGGGAAGGACACGGAACTGGTGGAGCAAGAGGACTGGAGCACCTCCCCTAAGGAGACAGGCTGGGGAATTTGGGGCTGTTCAGGCTGGAAAAGGTTCTGTGGAGACCTCACAGCACCTTGCAGTGTCTGCAGGGTGACAGGGGAGATGGAGAGGGGCTGCTCAGAAGGAACTGGAGGGACAGGACAAGGGAGAACGGGTTCAAACTGGAAGAGAGGAAATTTGGGTAAGATATCTGGAAAGAATTGTCCCCCATGAGAGTGGGGAGGCCCTGGCACGGAGAAGCTTCCAGGGATGAAACTGGGCAACCCCACCCTCCCAGGGAACAATTCCTTCCCAATATCCCATCCATCCCTGTCCTCTGGCAGTGGGAAGCCATTCCCTGTGTCCTGTCCCTCCATCCCTTGTCCCCAGTCCCTCTCCATCCCCAAGGACGCTGCCATCCTTGCAGGCAGCTCCTCGGCTCACAGCCAAAAATTCCCATCTAGCACAAGCATCCAAGGCAGGGAGGGAAAAGTTATCTTTCAGCCACTGAAGGATGTCACTGAGATGCTTCCAGCTACTTGTTTTCACTTGTATCCAGTCTGACAGGAATTTGCCAACTCCCTTCTTTTATCTCTTCTCAGCTCAATGTCAAACAGAAGTAAGGGGGGGAATCTAATGTATCAAATTTAATTCTAAAATTTAAAAAAGGAGGAAGACTACTCTGAAACAACATCCTACATTTAACAGTATTTCATTTGTTGCAGGAAATTGCAACGAGATGATCTTTAAGGTCTTTTCCAACTCCAATCATTCCATGATTCCATGGAATCTGTTCTGAGATTTCTATCTGCTGCTTTGAGAGTGAATGAAGACACGGAGCTTGGGTAATAATTTCTGTTTAAACTACCTCTTACACAGTTTTCTTTGGGAGAAAACCACACTGTCCTATTTGAGCAAAAGATTTTTTTTTTTTTTCAATCAGAAACAGCCTCTTTAAAACAAAATTCCCAAATACATGAAACAAAGCTTCTTGATCAGGACACGCTTGCTTTTCTATGAACATTTTGGTGGTTCCACAGATCTCAAGCACACTGTAAAAAACATGAATAAAATCAGAGCAGGTCCCAGCTAAGATCATCAGTGCACATGTAATACCACTACTACTTCAATCTTTTAATAGAATAATTAAATTACATATTCAAACACAATAAACTGTTCCAACCATAGTTATCAGTGGCATTTTAGTATCACCCAATTTTTCCACGTTCAAAAGGGATAGGAAGGTTTAGTAAGCTTAACTGGATTACAGATTTTGCAAATATTGAGGGGGGAAAAACACCCCAGCAAAGGAGCAGAGGTGAACCCTGGCTGGAGGAGAGCTCAGCCCCTTTCTCTTGTGCCTGGCTGAGCTCTGAGAGAGCAGGCAGCTGGCAAAGCAGAACATGCTCCAAATCAGTCACAGCACATCTTACTTCTTGTCTCCATCAGAAACAGGCAGCTGGGGCAAAGGGAGGAGAAAGGTGGGAGGTGGCAAGGCAGGAAGCAGGGGAAAGAGCTCCAGAAGTGGAGCTGACATGCCAGGCATGGGTTTTCTTCTCTGGGTGGTTTGGGTTTTTTTTTGTTTTTGTTTTTTTTTGTTGTTTTTTTTTTTAAATAAAATTCTTGTGGCAACAGCAACTGCAACAACATCCAAACTGTTTATTTGAGTGATACTACCAAGTGGCACAAGGCTATGCTGGATTTATGGAATTGAAACATCATATTTTGTCATTTTTGGAAGCTTCTGGACTAATACAATACAAATTTGAGGGTTAGGAAAAAGAAAAAAAAAGAGAGGCAACAATTCCTACTACGAATCAGGAAAGTCTCAGCAAATCTCTCCAGAAATTCTTATTACTTCCCACTTTAAATGTTCCATAACCTTTGCACAAACAACCACATCAAATTTCAGTGTAATTAGTGTTATTTTATGCCCTTCAGCATAAACTTTAGAAAGCAGCTAAATATGCAACTAGGAAAAAAAAATTAATGGGGGAAAAACTCCTTGGTGTTTACAAGTGAAAAAGTGTCAGTGTCTCCCAGAGATCACTCTGGAAAGCCACATCTTTATGCTCCCAGCCGGCTTAAAAAAAAAAAAATAATTATTAAAAATAAAGTTGCCATGATGTGTAACAGTAATTTACTCTTTGGATCATTCTGGAATTCTGGGACTTTATTAGTAAGTTGTTGCAGATAGAAGCTGTGCAACAATTATCCTAGGTTCTGACAGACACAACACCATCATTTACCAATATTCCATGAAATGAAAGAACTAAAATTACACTGGGCAGAGTTTGTCACCCCCTCAAGTCTTTCTTTCCCTGGTTAAGTATGGCTCAAAATAGCACTGCTATGGAAAACCCTGAAGCACAATTTCTTTTGAGGGTCCTGTACAGATTTTTTTATGGAAACACAGAATGGTTTGGGTTGGAAGGGACCCTTAAAGATTGTCCTGTTGCAATCCCCCAGTGGAATTAAAGGTGTTTTCCCTTGTTCCTGCTCACCCACCTGCCACAGCAGAGCCAAGAGCACCTCAAGAACATCAAATCATCAATTATCATCACCTCAAAAATCAAATATCCCATTCCCAGCACCTCAGCATTGAGCTCTGCTAAGGAAATGAGGCTTTGTTTGAAGAGCTTAAAACGTGATGGATTTCAGGGACTGAAGGGTTTCTCAA